TAATAAGTTTTTCCTAAATTCGTAATAGGATAAAATGCGAAAGGAGGGAGAACACAAGGAAGTTGATCGTACAATCTCGGAAATATGGTGTGGACTCATCGGCAGTAAAGAAGGATCATCTTTTCGAGATGAGTGTAAAGGGGGTAAAATCTCCATCGAGGTCTTTTAGTTTATGTTTTTCATTTCAAGTTATGCTAGTTAATTTTTGAGTTATGCGCAATTATATGTGTCAGGCATCCCACCGCCTACTTAAGGTTGAGGCAGGCATTGTGCTATGTATATGAATGTGTTTGCGATGTATGGTTATTGGTAATTGAACCCCCGGGCGGTTGGGCCACTACTGGATGCGGTAGATGGTTGGGTCACTATTGACGGCGATACGTAACACAGTACGTAGTTGATCGGGCATGGACTGGACGACGATACGTAACCCAGTACCATTGCCTTGAGAATAGGGACACCAGACGGCGATATATAACACGATGGACCTAGTGATATGTGTATGAGTTAAGGATAGAAGTAGATAACTTCTATGAGTTAAAGTTGGAATAAAGTTTTTAAGGAGGAAAGCGAGAATGGCTTTCGTCTAAGAAAGGAAACCCGCTAATAATGTGTTTAGTAAGGGTTTGCTTAGGGCAAAGACCTTAAGAAGTAACGACGAGACTGACCCCTTCTCACTCACCAGGTTGAGGAAGGGTTAAGGGACGTGGTTTTCGGGAAGAGGCAGGATGAGGCGAGCAGCCGCATAAGCATGGACAAGGTCTCGGAAAGCTCGTGAGCAGAGTAGTCAAAATCCCGATTAAATCCTAAGATTTTACTTACCTATTCCGATTCTGATTTCACTATAAAATCTATGGACCTTAAAATCCAACACTATTCAGGATTTAAATCCTTTAAATCTGTAAAATCTTACGATTTCACGATTCAAATCTTTGAGTCAATTTTACTTATTTCCCCCAAAATTTGTATAATTACGCATCTTTTCCGTCTCCTCCACCAACATCATCTAACCCTCTCACATTAACCGCCATCGACCATCATCAATTCACATCAACATATTAATAATCATCGATTCACTACCTCTTAACATTAACCTTGATAAATTAGAACATTAACCTTAAGAAATTATCATTGTAAGTGTTATGTATTTTTGTGTTATTTGTGATTTTTCTTATTGATATTATTTCGTCTTTGTTTTTATATGGAGCTTAAAATCCTACCATTTTACGATTCGATTTTATGATTCTGATTTTACCTCCATTTTCGAATTTAATTAAAATCTCGATTTTGACTGTTTTGCTCGTGAGGAGGTAGAGTTATAATAGTTTATTATTTTGTCTCATGGTTGAGTATAAACTGTAGATCCGAATTAAGTTGTTTAAGTGTTTTGATTTGTGATTGCCCAAGTGTTAGGGATCTTCGTTTGAAATTCTTGAACAATGTCATTTGACGGTTATTGAGTTGACTTTTAAATTTGGTTTGGGTTGCTCCGCAGTAATCAGTTTTTGGTTTGAGTTTTTGATTTTGTTTCAAAAGGGTCGGTTGTTTCAATGGTGGTATGTTGCATATAGGTGGTTCAGGAGCTATCCCACCAAGGAAGAGTAGAAGGCGCATATGGTGTCTTTCTATTTGGTGGGAGATGCCTTTTAATGGTGGGAATGGCTAGAGAGGTCATATGCTGAAGTCGGGACTTTGATCATATGGCAAGGGTTCCATGAGGAGCTTTGATCCAGTTAGCAGGTCAGAAGGATGGGCACCCGAGCAGCTAGCCAAGTTGTGACGAACCGGAACAATGAGAGAGTACATGTCCAAGTTCCCGAAGCTAGCAACATTTGCAAGGGAAATCCAGAGAAGACCCAATGGGATTGTGCATGGCAGGCCTACATTCAGAGATAGTTGTTGTAGTCAAGGTATTTGAACTCAGACTTTGTACGAGTGGTTTTTAGACTTGCAGGGAGCAAGGAGGAGGAGCTGGCAAATATGATGGCAGTGATAGGTTGTTTCGAGAAGACGACTAGGGGAGCAGGCGCCAGACTGATTACCAGTAGTAGAGGAGGAGCACGGCAACTACCGTGGTCGGCGGAACAACAACAACCGTCCCTGGCTACCACACTTGGAGCCACTCGATCGGGACCACATCTGTTGCCGAAGGGATTTGTGAGGCTGACTCCAGTAGAGATGGAGCAGAAGATGAGGGATGGTCATTTCTTCAACTGCAATGAGACATACACTTTGGGCCACCAGTGTGCTAATGCCCATCTCATGTTGTTGGTAGGAAGCTACGAGAACGAGGCGAATGAGCAAATAGCAAAGGAAAGGTGAACCAGGAGCCGCCGACTCAACCTTGAGGGAAATGTTACTTTCAAGTGGGAGGGTATGATAGAAACACGATTTCAAGTGGATTTTATTCATTTTCTGTTATTTGAGGATTGAATGTTTTGGTTTTTTTTTTTTATTGATTTAGTACAGAATTGGAGTAATGAAGAGTTATTTGACTAGATGGATATTGGGGAAAATATGGATAGTTGTAAGATAATTTCAGTTTATTATTTATTTTGTAAAGTAAGGCTAAACCTACTAGACTTAATCATTGTTATGGGACAATGCAAGTACCACATTGGAAATACAAGGGAAAGGACCCTTGTATATTAGTGTCCACCAAGCTCATTAGTACGAGGCCTTTTGGTGAGGATACCAAAAAAATCCTTTCAGATTTGGCCCAAAGCGGAGAATATTGTACTAATGGAGTTGCCCGATTTCGACAGGTGGTATCAGAGCTTGGTTTAGGATTTAGAGCAGTGGATGTCAGTTTGGTGGACCCTCCGTCGGTGACCTCGAGATCTGAGATATGCGTGTGTTTGGTGGATCTAGGAGAGTCTGGTTATGAAAAGTGGTATCAAAGCCTGGTTTGGTACGGGGCGATGGACGTTAGTTTGTTGGGACCCTCATTCGGTGACCTCAGAATGTGAGATTTGTGTTTGCGTGGCGGATCATAGAGAGTTAGGTGACTGGGAAGCAGATCAAAGAGAGTTCTGCGTCTGGGAAAATCCTTGTACTGAGAAGTCCATAGATACATGGTATCTGGCGGATCAAGATAATAGTTGAAGAAGGACACAAAGTACGTGGTCTTTATCTTGAGGGGAGGATTGTTAAGAGACAATTCAAGTACCACATCGGAAATACAAGGGAAATGACCCTTATATATTATTGTTATGAAGCTCATCAGTACGAGAGCTTTGAAAGGGATACTCAAAAGTAAATCTCGTTTGGGCTTCTCCCAAAGCGGAGAATATCATACTTATGGAGCTGTCCAATTTCCATTATCAAATTATTATTATTTTCCTGATCTCCCTTCTCTATCTACGACCAACCCCTCCCCCTTTCTTCCTTGGCTGCCGTCCATTCCCATTTCCAATTCCTCTCATTCTTTCTCAATTATTTTCCTAAAGCTCATTTCTAATCCCAATACAAAATCAATCCCTGATTGATCTTCAATTCCCATTCCCTAAATAGATCTAGGAGCACTTCAAATTGTTGGTTCTATCATCTACATCCAAGCATACTAGGTGGCTAAGTTCGGCTCGAGATACTCTTCGGATTCAGATCCTTGATCTCATTTCACCGTTTCTAGAATATCTTGTACTACTATCTCCGTATATATAACATTAATTTTGCTGGATTTGTAATTATGGGAAAACCCCAAAACAGTGCAAAAGACAAATCTTTCGAAATAAACTAATTAATGGATGAAGTTTCGCAGATAAATATTATATGGCCAGCAAAGCAAGAAACTATACATAATCCTACAGCAGTAATTGATGATATGATATCTAGTGCCCATAAAAACTAGACATTGAATGAATAGCAAAGCAAGAACGTAATTAGCCACATCTTGGCTCTTGCTAGCTATAGCCCAACACGGTCGGTCAGAATCCACGCCATGAAACCAGGCTTCTTATCTTCTAGCTGGCATGAGGCACATATAACGTGGTCATGAATAATATGATCCTCGGCGCAAAGTATAAACCGCTTATTACTTGATTTGGTCTACAATATTGTTAACCAAAAGAACCGGCCTCTTATGAAAAGAAATGATAAATAGGGTTTTTTGGGGAAGGAATCTGAAAATGAGAGAGCCTTCTTTTTCTGTTTTACCATTTATACTGCTAAAATCATTTACAGATTGAGAAAGGATTAACGGCTAATCTACAGTAAAAACAGGAAAAACTAACAATTAATCTAACCAACCGAAGCTATACACGTGTTGCTCTAAATCTAATGACTATTTACGAGAACAAAGTGGAACGCGGCGTTCTGAATCATAAGACAAAGTCTCGTGTTGACTCCAAATAGATGGATAACGATGATCTTCCGAGCTGTGTTCTTGGCAGGGTAAAGTCTGCAGTTGCTTCATCGCATTCCTGGAAACCTGAAGAGTGAGTTACTGCTGGTCATTGTCAGGAATTTATATGTTCTTCATTATGCCCCCTCAAGCTGGTGAGTGTCTTCTAATACTCCCAGCTTGCTCAACAACATCCTGAACATATCAATTTCTAGACTCTTTGTGAACAAATCTGTAAGTTGATGAATAGTATATAAATGGTGTAAAATGATCAAACCACTCTGCACACGCTCCCTTATGACATGACAGTCAACTTCTATATGCTTGGTTCTTTCATGGAATACTGGATTTCGTGCTATATGGATAGCATACTAGTTATCACAGAAAACCAAAGCTGAATGAGAATGATCAATTCCAAAATCACTAATCAATCTCCTTTCCCCAGAAGCTACAAAAACATGTAATTGAACTTCTAGTGTCTGGACATGTAGTCCAATCAGAGTCACTATATCTAGTCAATTGCATACTAGAATTGTGTGGATAGAACAATCATTGACCTAGGGCATTTATGAGATACCGAAAAACTCTTTGCAAAGTCTTGAAATGGACTGTTGTTGGGGAATCCTGGTACTGACACAACTGCTGTAAAACATAGGTGATATCTGCTCTAGTTGTATTCAAGTACTGCAGCTGGCCAAGCCAATGCTTGAACTTACTGATGTCATGGAAGGGTTCTCCATCTTGAGCTGATAAGACTTGTTTAACATTGGAAGGAGTTTTAGCAGGCTTGCATTCATCAAAGCCTGTTTTCTTCAACAACTCAAGCCAGTAATTCCTTTGACTAACATGGATTCCACCATCAACTTTGTTTATTTCTAAACCAAGGAGATATTGCAAGTTACCCAAATCCTTCATTTTAAACACTAATTTCGGCATCCTTTTAACTGACTCCACTGCTTCTAGACTGATGCTTCCAATGACAATATCATCAACATACACAAACAACCAATGAATTCTCCACAGTGGAAAGAAATATGGAGCAATCAGGTTCAGGGTGACTGTCAGATGGAGGGGAGCTAGGAGACTCATGTGTTGCTGCGGGAGAAAAAGATTGTGAGGGAATGGGTTGGCGGCAGACGAAGGAGAAATGTCTGCTGCAGGTGGGGATACAAAGTAAGGCTGACGTGAACAAAGACCATCCTGTATGAAGGAAGAACCAAGATAAGAGGGAAGATGAGTAGATTACTGTCAACCTGCTCATTAGATTTAAAGGGGACAAAAATTTCATAAAACACCACATCTCGATTGATAAAAACCTTTCATGTGGTTAAGTCCAAAAAGTTTAAATCCTTTAATGCCTACAGGAATGCCAAGAAACACACATTTCCTAGCTCTTGGATCAAACTTAATTATGCTTATAACCCTCTACCACTGTGGCATATGCTAGGCAACCAAATACCCTTAAGGACATGTAGTCTGGTGGAACTTGGTGCAGAACTTCAAAGTGAGTTTTATGATCAAGGACTGGAGTAGGAGTCCTATTGATCAGATGAGCAGCATGAAGAACAAAGTCCTCCCAATAAAGAAGTGGAAGACCATATTGAAATTTGAGAGATCTGACAACATTTAGAAGATGCTGGTGTTTTCTATCAACTCTACCATTCTGTTGAGCTGTATAAACACAACTCATTTCATGAATAATTCCTTTTGAATTGTGAAACTCTGTCATATGGAATTCTTGGCTCTGATCAGATCGAATAGTTTTAACAAGTCTAGAAAATGTGTTTCAACCATTTGACAGAAGGATTGTAAAAGAGTTCTAGTTTCAGATTTGGATTTCATGAGGAATACCCAAACTGCTCTGCTATGATCATCAACAATAGTTAAAAAAATATTGAAATCCATTTTTGGAAACTACATTCAATGGACTACAAATATTCACATGTAATAGATCAAAAGGTTTAGTACTAACAGAAGTACTAAGAGGGAAAGGAAGTCTCTTCTGTTTGGCAAAATGGCAAACCTCACAATGTTTGGTCAATGGTAAAACAACTTAATTAAACTGAGTCTTAACATCTCTCAATATAGACAAGGAAGGATGACCTAATCTAGCATGCCATATGTTGAAATATGAATTGTGGGAATGGGAAACTCCTGCTGCAAAAGGCTGGGCAACTCTACTGGAATTAAATGACTCTTTGACTGGGAAAACATATATAATCCTCTATCCACTTGGGCTAAACCAATCCTCCTCCGAGTAATAAGGTCCTGAATAATACAAAAGTTTGATTTGAAAACCAATGAGACTGGGTGATTTTTAGTTAACTTACTTACAGAAACCAAATTGTAAGTAAAAGCTGGAACAAAGAGAACTTGAGTAAGAAATAATCCACAAGGCAAAGACACAATTCCTATGTGAGTGGCTTTAACCTTTTGCTTGTTAGGGAGATTCACAAACACATTGTCAAATGGTTTACTTTTGATAAAGAAACCAAGGTTACAGACAATGTGGTCTGTTGCTCCAGTATCAAGAACCCATTCAGATCTATGAAGCAAATCAATAATTGTAGAGTGTGATTGATTACCTGCTGAACTAGAGCTTGTAGTAAAAAGTGATGGAGTTTTCACAACTGAGTTTGCTGAAGCCTGATGAGTATGTTATTGACCAATGGTTCTTCCTGGTGCAGCAGGTGCCAGATGTGGTGAGCTAGGAGGTGAAGGTGAAGGAGACCTAGCCAGCATAATTCTCAGTTTCTCAAACTGATATGGAGTCAGAAGGTTGTGGAGATTGACATCACTTCCAGCTGAGGAAGAACCTCCAGATTCAGATAACTTGCTATCACAAGCACCAGTAAAGGGATGTTCTCCTTCTTGCTTCTTTTTGTTTTTAAGTCTGTAGCAATCCAAAATTATGTGACCCTCCTTCTTGCAATACCTACACCACTTTTTACCCTCAGGTTTATAATCCCTATGATTTTTGCCAGACTGTGCAGTTATGCCCTGATGTTGTCCACTCTCTAGTAAAGCCACCGAATCAACTCTGCCCTTTGCAGAACTCGCACCCTTCATTAGGCGTTCTAGTTGAACCATTTTTTTTAAAACAGACTCAATACTAGGTAATTAAGAATTCATCAAAACCTGAGTACTGCCTGACTGATAAACATCATTCAGTCCTTGCATAAAGTTAATAATGACATCATTTTCTTCATACTTATGGATAGTGAAAAATGGGCTATTGGGACATGGACAACATGAAATTGGTATATACATCTTATATTCCTGCCACTTAGTGGTCAAAGCTGTGTAATATTGATTACCTGAAAGATCTCCCTGAACACATTTGGCTATCTGATCTTTCAATTCATAAACCCTAATGTTGTCTACTTGACTAAAACGATCTTTCAAGCTATCCCAGCCATCCTTAGAAACCTTGAAGGCTACTACACTGTTTTCTATATCTTTTGAGAGAGAGTTATAAATCTAGCTACGCATAGTACCATCACATCCAAGCCAAGATTGATAGATCATATCTCCAACAGAAGGTACAGGGATCATACCATTGATAAATTGAAAATTGTTTCTGGTGCTAAGAGCAACCTCCATTACTTAACTCCACAAATTGTAGTTCTGATCGGTTAACTTCATGGAGATGGTTGTTGTCAAACCATGGTAGTGTGAAGGCAAATAATAGGGATTCAGGTATGGATCCTCGTATTGGGGTAGTTGAGAAATGGGTTGAGCTGGAAACTCTTGCATTTGATGGACTGTACCAATGGGTTGTGCTGGAAACCCTTGCATCTGTTGTGCGACTCCAATGGGTGTGGAGGCAGAAGGTTGAGAAGGTGTTTGGTTTGGATTTTGAGCATCGTCATGAGCATAAGCTAGTGATTCTGAATCATCAGTTAGATGACTACCAGCTCCAGTACCCTGTCCTGACATGGCAAGAAGGATTCACCACAATGCGGCTAGGGTTTGTGGAGAGGATGACGATGAGATCTACAGACGCCTGTAACTAGGCTCTGATACCATGAGAAGAAATGAGAAATAAGGTTTTTTGGGGAAGGAATCTCAAAGTGAGAGAGCCTTCGTTTTCTGCTTTACCATTTATACTGCTAAAATCATTTACAGAGTAAGAAAGGATTGACGGCTAATCTACAGTAAAAACAGAAAAACTAACAATTAATTTAAGCAACCGAAGCTATACACGTGTTGCTCTAATGATTATTTACGACAACAAAGTGGAACGCAGCGTTCTGAATCATAAGACAAAGTCTCGTGTTGACTCCAAATAGATGGAGAACGACGACATTCCGAGCTGTGTTCTTGGCAGGGTAAAGTCTGTAGCTGCTTCATCGCATTCCTGGAAACCTGAAGAGTGAGCTGCTGCTGGTCATTGTCTAGGATTGATATGTTCTTCATTATCTTATCTTAAGTTGCGATGCATGAGTTATGTATCATGTTTATATGAAGGGTAGACAAACACCACTTATGGACTCCCTCATGGTTTAAGTCATTAAATTGACACAAATTATAATATGAGAACATTTGACACCAAACCAATCTAACAATTGAGATAGTAGAAGAGATTGTTAAGAACATATCAGGATAATCGACAATGCAAGAACGAGAAGAAAACAATGTTATAAATCAATTGATCCCAATAATTCGAGTTTTTGGAAGAAGGATATTATGAATCTTACACCACTCCCTTACATGCCTCCTCAAACGAAAGGCAACTTACAGGCTTGAAATTTGGACAGACACACCATACCTTGTGCTTTAATCAATTGTTAATATTAGGGGTCGTGGATAATCGAACAAACGACCACTTGACCAAACCAGCTCTGATACCATGTCATAAACCAACTGGTCCCAATAACTCAAGTTGTTGGGAGAGGCCCATGTCTGGTACTAAACCACTTCCTTCCATTCCCCCTAAAACGAAAGTCAACTCAGGGGCTTGAAGTTTGCACAGGCCCGCCATACCATGTGATTTGAAGACAATGGTTAATATGGGGGGTCGTGAGGACTTGAACGCGTGTCTTCAAGGACAAATCAGCTCTAACACCATGTCACAAACCAGTAGGTCCCAATAACTCGATTTTTTGAGAGAAGGTTATTATGGATCTTATACCCCTCTCTTACATAGAGATTTAGGTGGTTTAATAACATAATGTGTGTTAGTTAGTCCACGGGCACGAGATAGCCGATTTTATTATATGCAAATTACAAAGGGATTGAATAGTATATATAATACTTTTCTATATAGCATAACCCTAATCCAATATGGTAACTCATAAGGTTACAAACCAGGTCCATAACATGATCCCAAACATGTATAAGCCCATGAAATCTTGCTCCCTCGAGCCTCCTAATAAGGCGCTTTGCCCCTAAACCTCGTCATTTACAATCGACGGCAGATAATGCGATTCAAATATTAAGAAGAGACAATCAAATAGTGTCCGCCATACTTAAAAGAATTCTCATGGAATAAGCAAAACACATGCACCATATGAAAACTATTAGGATTTTAACTTTGATTTCTGTGGGTAATTGTAGTCATAGCCTTTTTTTCTGAAAGATAGGACTTTTATTACGATCCGAAACAAAGGAAACAACAAATTACATAAGTGGTGAGATCAAATCAGCAACAACAATCCAATCCAAAGGTAGCGAATTGACACGAGCATTCCGAGCCATCCAGTTAGCCAAATCATTAAGACGTCGCGGAACAAAATCCACTTTGATCCAATGGGCTTCATGGAGGAAGAAATGATTCTTTCCAAGGTCGCCCGACAATGCCACGGCCAGAGATTAGGGGGCTTCCTCAAGGCACTTTTCAGTACCTGATAGTCTAATAAAACATGAGTTGGGAAAATCTCTTGAGCCGCAAGCTGGACTGCGTTGAGAAGTGCAAGAGCTTCCGCTTGAATCGGATAGGAGCAAAAGAAAGTCTCAGCCTTTCCGTCAAACACCTGACCAAGGGAATTAGCAATAGTAATCTCATACGCCGCCATTTGTGAATCCGAAACGAACAAACCATCATAGTGAACAAGCTTCTTAAATGAAACTGGTTGTGGTGGCGGTGAGATCGGGGTCCCCTAGGCTGAGATGGCAAATGAGCTGACCCGGAGGATGATGAAGAACTTGTTCGAGCTTCCTCAAAGCAAAGAAAATCACGATAAGTTTTGATTTCCACGCTGGTCGGGGAAGGAACCATTGCCTCAAATACATAGCCATTTCAAGCTAACCAAATATTCCACAGACACCAAGCAATTTTCCGAATTCTCTCAACCGAAAAAGGCCCATATTAAGGCCGAAGAACCAATCGCAGAATGTCGATTCGTTGTTAGGGAGGGAAGGGAGAAGCCCAGTCGTCTCCCATGCGGTTGCCGCGTGCTGGCAGTGGAAGAGACAATGGAGAACAGTTTCACTTGGCCCATCGTAGACTGGACAACTTGGATTGGCAGCTTAATTCCGGGAGAACAGTCTTGATTGAGTAGCCAAACCTCCCTTAGAACATGTCCAGATGAAGAACCGGATCTTAGGAGGGAGGGAGAGTGACCATAACCACCTCCAATCGTCACTGCTAGGAGGAGGCAAAAAACCTGACACAGGCGGAAAAGAGATATCTCGTTCTTGACGGAGCGCCCTGTACGTTGAATTAACCGAATAATCTCCTGTATTTGTGAATCTCCAAAACTATCTATCCAAAGAGTTGGGAGGTCCAATCGGGACTCGAAGAATAGCAAGTGCAGATTCTTCAGGGATAGTGGCCATAAGTACTTCTAAATTCCACTTTCCATCAGTAGGGGAAATCCATTCACTAAATCTGGATGGAGGTAGTCCCAAGCTCGTAAGTGATGAAGATGGGAGATATGGAACCCAAGGATCGTTATGGAAGTTGGTTCCCTCCCTTGACATGATACCTCTCACCCAACAAATCTTCAGCTTTTCCTTAGTGTCACAAATTCCATTCCAAATCCAGGACCCTATGTTGCCCTTAGAAGTCGAGAAGAGGTCCCCATTGGCAAAGTAAAGACCTTTGAGAAGGCGGACCCAGAGGGCTTCCGGGTTAACGAGCATTCGCCAAACTTGTTTCCCAATAAGTGCAATATTGAACAAATAAAAGTTCTTAAATCCCAATCCCCCTTCTTCCTTTGGTCTTTCGAGAACTTTAGCATCACACCAATGGATATACATACAAGTATAGATAATAATCGAATGGTAAAAGATTAAAACAAAACATAAAGCAAAGAAGATACAAATGAATGTATAGAGAGAATAAAAATAGATTTTTTTAATTATCCTCTTTAAAAACAACCATACCAAAAATAACAAAAGGTAGAGGTTAGCAATTGGTGCTTTTATGCAGATTTGGGTGGGTTTGGAACCATCCAATACGTGGTGGGTGAAGGAGAAAATGATTCACACCCACCCAAACTTTACATGTGGGTGGATTGGGTGGATTTGTTTACAACATATATTCCATATGATAGCATAATTTCAATAGTTTTGAACTTAAAATTAAAAAAAAAATCAAACTAAATAACGCTTAATCCATAAATTAGATGAATCATATATATTACAATATTGGTATTGGTAATTGTCCACAAATTACAAAATACTCAACTGATAAACATAGTCAATGTCTGATAATAACCAAGGTTCAAGAAGACAATAGGCGTAAGGAAAACGTTTTGGTCTTGCCTAGCGCCTCATTCACCTAGGTGTTGTGAGCGTAAATAGTTTTTTTTAACTATGATCACAAATTAAAATTCCTAATTGGCGGAAGGAATGAAGAACGAATCGGTGGTAGTTTGAAATGATGTCATTTTGGCGAAGATAACTGTCTTTTTTCTGCCATTTGTCTACCATTTATGCTAAAGCGTACCTCTAATTGCTTAACCACATCTCACAACACAATTTAATCGAAATCGGGAGGAATTTTTGCAATTTTAAGGGTTTCATTTTTTGAAAAGCTATATGTTAGAGTTTCGATGGTTTGAGGTTAAAAGGTTGGGTGGATCGTGGGTCAACCACAGCCCACCCGTACGGTCGCACTCACCCAATCTTTTGTCGGTCACCTATTTTACAATTCACACCCACCCATAAGAACCACCCACATGGTAATTGGTGGGTCGATTGTGGATTGATTTTGGTGAATTTGTGGGTTCAACCACCCAATGCTCACCCCTAAAAGAAGTCTTCTAACTATAGCCTATAAGTTAAACTATGGGGTGGCGAGAAGATCTGACCCGCCTGGTAATACGAGCACAGGGGGTGCTTATTTTATGTTCGAAGCGCGTAGCTCCAACTTTGTCAAATCAGAGCTCCAAATTCTAATAGAAACTTAAAACAAAAACGGCCAAAGGTGCAACTTCACACTTGGGAAGAGGCTCGATTGGTTTGAGTCAAAGCTCGGCCACGATTGACGCGGTTTCAATCGATACGAAGCAACTTGCTGCTGGAACTCGACCAACACACAAGAATTTGGTGACAAAGTCACAACTGTGTCATTCAATCTAGTATGCTTTTACACGAGGTTGTCAAGGCCTTAAATGGACAATGAACAACCTAAATCGGACTCTAAACTAACAAGGAAACTAATCCTAATTCTAACTCAACAAGGAAACAAAAATCCTTTCTTATAACGGAAACAAAGCACACACGCCTCTATCTTCCTGCGCAAGCAACCCATCCAGCTTCCATAGCGACTTTGGAGCTCTCGATCAAGAGCTTCCAAGAAGGTTCGACCAGAACAGCCTTCATTCGTTTCTTCCCTGAGTCTTGTACTTCAAATCCCAACTCTCCCCTCCCCTCAACAATGCCCCATCTGAATTGAATAAGCCTCCAAAGATGGGTTCTCGAACTGGTTCTAGACTTGGCCAAAAATAGGCAATTTAACAGTTTTATAATAACAACTTGAGGCCTCTTGATCAGCCCTCTTTGCCCCTTAATTCGCGCAACCTATCCTTCGACGTGGTTTATAAGCACTTGATCTCTCATTCCCACCCTTCCTCTTGCAATTCCATCGACCGAGAGGTAAGACACGAACCTGCAAAGCAAGCACCACGAAACAAGTCGAACACTTAGCCTTCCAACGTTGATGGATTGTTTGGAAATCAATTCGAGCTTGGACACGAGGCTAAATGGAATCATATCAGGACCCCCTTCTTTAAAAAGCTTTTCCCTCAAAGTTGGTCCACACGTGCAGTTAAAAATATCGTCTGATTGGACCCAGAAAGGATCGTAAAAGGAGTACTCTGCGGCCGGCAATTTGAACTCCCGCGAGTGCCTCAAATCAGCAACTTGACGTTTCATGGCACTCCACAGTAGTTGAACATTTGGCCGTGTTGTTTTGCCGTCCAGTATCCGTTTTCGACCATTGTCCGCCTTGGAATCCCCTCGATCGACCCCTAACGCTCGTTGCAATTTTCCCTCCACCATAAAATTTGAATTTTCCAGAATCCGGCGGAGTAAACCCAGAATCCGGCGGCCTCAATTCAAAATTGGGGGAAATCGACTCAGGCATTTGCGAGTCATTTTCGTGGCTTCTACACCTTCCCCATGACTCCAGGAATCGAACGCAGTTGATTATTTTCGATGAATCAACGCCAATCTCCACAACTGATTCACCCTTCTCGGCCGCGTTGTCCTTCGTATTTTGGCCCAAAATTCGCGAATCAGGGCTTTTTGCGTCGACGTGATTCGACCCCAATTGCTCATTGCTACACGTTCCTGGACCAAGATCTATCGTTCCTGGAGGGTTGGCTTCGTTCGATTCGCTCCCCACCGTTCCGACCAATTCACCCTCTTTCCATCCCTGTTTCGTCAGCACCAGGGGACAGGTCGGCGCGCACTTGATCCATCGAGGAATCCCAGGCCTTGGTAATGCGGTGAGCATATACCCCATACGAGTCAAGCACGTTCTCGGCCTTGATGTTCCATGTTCTCGACTCACGCGAGCTCTCAAGGCGACCATCTTCTGCTGATCGAATCGCACTTCAGACGGGGACAATGGTTTGAGTAGAACAAGTTTCCCGTCGTGCTTGAATTTATAGAGTTGGAGCCGCCATCATGGGTCACAGCTCGATCATACTGCCAGGGCCGGCCGAGCAAGAGATGGGCGGCCTGCATTGGTGATACATCGCACTAGAGCTCGTCCATGTATGGACCAATTTCGAAGTTGACTCGAGCTCGTTTTGTAACCTTAATTGCGCCATAATCATTAAGCCAATGAAGGCTGAATGGATCAGGGTGTTTTGTTGTCTCCAGGCCACGTTTCTTGACAGAGTCAAGGCTGATTACCTTCGTACAGCTTCCCCCATCGACGACCACTGATAAGCAGCTTCCATTGACGAGGCACCCGTGTGAAAGAGGTTAGTTCGCAGGTCGTCACTTGTCTCGCCTCTTCAGCCAGATTCAGCTTCAATTTCTTCGTCCACCTCTTCATCTAACGAACTTCGTTCCTTCTCTTTGTGTTCTGTTTCTTCGTCGGAGACGTATTCGCCGTCGTGCAGGATCAATATTTTAACATTGGGGCATTGGTTGGCTTTATGGACCATGCCATGACATTTAAAGCATTGGATTGATCCGGATCGCTCTGTGGGAAGCGGATTAATGCTTCTGGGGGCCAATTTAGCCACATCTCTTCGTGGTTGAGGTGAACTGATAATTTATCTCGGTCGTGGAATTCGTGGATGGGGAAAACCTTTGTCCTGTTGATGCCCTGTGTTGCTTCTCAATCTTCGAGGCTATATGAACAGCTTCTTCCAGGTCCACAAAAGGCCATAGCTCGACCTCGTTTCAAATTTCGCAGTTCAACCCATGTAAAAACCGCGCGATGATAGCTTCCCGGTCCTCTCGAACATTTGCTTGCAGTAAGAGCAATTCTAGACTCGGTAGTACTCTTCAACCCCCCTTGATCCTTGGTGAATACTCTGTAACGAGTCATGGATTTCGCGCAGGTAGTATCCTGGAACAAACTGTTCCCTCATCAACCTGCGTAGTTCTTTCCAGGTTGTCACCTCTGGTTGCAAATTTCGTCGTCGACGAATTTGAAGTTGCTCCCTCCTGCCATCGGGCAGCATAATCAGAGAACTCATACGTGATAATCGCCTATTTTTTTTGCTTGCTAAACTGAACACATTGGAAGAAAAGAATGATCTTCTGTTCCCAATCAAGGTATGTGGCCGCATTCATCATTCTCTGAAAAACTGGAACGGACAGTTTGATCCCTTGAGAGATGGCAGGTTCTGCCTCATACTGATCACGCCGCCCTCGCTGTTGGCGTTCAGGATTGGGTTCTGCAACTACTAGACGCTGCTCGATCTCCTCAATTCGATCCAATAAATTCGGGTTTCCAGCTGGAACTTCGTTGGCGAGAGCTTCCCCTTTCCTAGCTCGATTTTCCGGCGGCACTATTGCATCGAACCGCTGGTCGATATCTTGCTTGAACTGGCCCAGTTGATCCTGGAATCATGCATCAATCTGTGCTGGGAAGTCCTCCATATTAAACTGGTGCCCCGCCATTGTCGAGCCCTCAATTGGAGCATCTAATTTCAATTCTGCCTTCTCCTCTGCTTTCGGACGATGCACGACAGGGTCGCTGGAAACAGGGCCTTTTGACATTGTCCAACGCGTGATTTCTTCAATGCTTCCTTTCGTCTTGGCCACTGAGTTTAAACCAAGGCTCTGATTCCACTTAATACGAGCACATGGGTGCTTGTTTTAGGTTCAAAGCGCGCAGCTCCAACTTCGTCGAATCATAGCTCCAAATTCGAACAAAAACTTAAAACGAAAACGGCCAAAGGTGCAACTTCACACTTGGGAAGAGGCTCGATTGGTTTGAGTCGAAGCTCGGTCACGATTGATGCGGTTTCAATTGATACGAAGCAAACTTGATGTTGGAACTCGACCAACACACAAGAATTTAGTTACAAAGTCACAATTGTTTCATTCAATCTAGTCTGCTTTTACACGAGTTTGTCAAGGCTTTAAATAGACAATGAACAACCTAAATCAAACTCTAAACAAGAAATGAAAACGAATCCTAATTCTAACTCAACAAGGAAACACAAATCCTTTCTTAGAACGGAAACAAAGCACACGCCTCTGTCTTCCTGCGCAAACAACCCATCCAGCTTCCATAGCGACTTTGGAGCTCTTGATCAAGGGCTTCCAAGAAGGTTCGACCAGAACAGCCTTCAGTCGTTTCTTCCCTGAGTCTTGTACTTCAAATCCCAACTCGCCTCTCCCCTCGACAATGCCCCATATGAATTGAATAAGCCTCCAAAGATGGGTTCTCGAAATGGTTCCAGACTTAGCCAAAAATATGCAATTTAACAGTTTTATACTAACAACTTGAGGCCTCTTGATCAGCCCTCTTTGGCCCTTAATTCGCGCAACCAATCCTTGGACGTGGTTTATAAGAACTTGATCTCTCATCCCACCCTTCCTCTTGCAATTCCATCGACCGAGAGGTAAGACACGAAGCTGTAAAGCAAGCACCACGAAACAAGTCGAACACTTAGCCAAATACGACCCTTCTTCCTTCCAACGTTGATGGATTGTTTGGAAATCAATTCGAGCTTGGACACGAGGCTAAATTGAATCATATCACCTACGAACTGAAGTCTAAAATTCTAGAACCCTTTCATTCTGGTTTGACTAAAATGTCCTTTGCTTGCTGCTGCGGTGCGGCGTCAAAGTCAAAGTCAAGTTCATTCCTTCCTCGAAATTTGGGGAATCAAAAGAGAGACTAATTTAATTAAATTAGAAAAAAAGATTCATATTTGTCAAGAAGAATAATAGCGCTTGTTGACATGTCACCAATTGAACTTGGTTCAATTGGCATCGGTCATGAAATCGGTGTAAACACTATTAGTAAGACCGGTATGATCGATTTACGGTCCCTAAGTAAAATGACATCATTTTAGTGAATTTAATTAATAAAATTATATTTACCATTTATTTTATGAATTTCAATGTTGATGTTATTTATTGTATTGACGTTAAATATTGTATTTAAATTTGAGTATTTGTAATTTTATTATGAATGTCACATTTTATTTAAATATCAATATCAATTGTAAGTAAATTGTATTCAAAAACATGTTATATATGATTGAATTCATTTATTGTTAATGGATTTTCATAGTTCTACATATTTTGTTAAACTGGTTTGAACCGATACACATTAGTTGTACCACCGGTCAAACCATTTTACTTACTAAACCGGAACAATGGTATAAACTGGTTTGACAACCTTCATAGTAAGTATACAATGCATGTTAAATTTCAGCTCAGCTCCGCCCAACCTATTCCAGGCTCTAGTCCAACCAGCTACTTTATTTTGCCCTGATACTTTGATCTAAAGATGGATAATATTATTAGATAACATGTTATTAGGGGTGGCAGATCGATTTTCAATTAGTGGCTAACCGACTGGTTTAACCGCTAACCACAAACCGATGACTAGCATGCCTAGGTTAGGGGTCGGCAAGGGAGAGGGGTTGTTCGGTTAGCCAAGTAATCAGAGCCGGCTAACCAAGCCGACTAACTCTGTTTACCCAACTAACCGACCTCCGCCCAATTATTGCCAAAAGACCCTGAATCCCTCCAAATAAAAACAAAACCTAACCCTAAAATTAAATCATTTTGTCCATCAATCCATCTACCTCCGCCGCCCCCACCCTCCTCCAACCACCTCCACCCTCCTCCATCCATCAATTCTCCCCTCCTCGACCCCCGATCCTTCGCGACGACCTCGACATCTCCACTTCCCATCCTCTCCGCGATTAGGTCGTCAAATCTTGCCTCTCCGCGACCCTGGTCATGGTAAAACACATAATTCTATTTATAACGAGTTTAGAAGAGATTAATTTTCGCACAATTTTATGTGGGCTATACACTAAAAAATTAATAAAATATTTATATGTAATAATATATATTTTCTCATCACTATAAGTATGATGAAATTTTCTTGGCCCCACTAATCAGGAATCCTGGCTTCGTCTCTAGTCCCGGTCCAGTCTCGGTCTGGTTATAGGGTCCGGTTTCAGGTAAAATAAAAAAATCCGGACCAAATAGCCACCCCTAAATAAAATGACTTAAAGGAGGTCTATGATTTTCATTTGTTAGTAATAGGGGTCATTTGGTTTTGGTGATTGTTGGATTGGGATAGTTACAATGCAATCATTGTCCACAATGCATTGTCTTTTTGAATTTTCTACACAAACAATACAGACATTGTTTGCTTGATGTGATGGAAACTATCACTCAAAATGAGTGATAGTACTATCTCTACTAAAACTTGAGATTGTTGAGATAGTTTTAAGAAGATTGTTGGGTTTCTTTTATGTTCCAATTATATATATGTTCTAATAAAAGTAAGAGCAAAAGTAATCTTTCCCAACAAAAGTAAAAACTATCACCAAAACCAAACAATGCAAATTACATTACATCAATTTCATTAGTTACATGTATATTACAATGCATGCATTGATCACAATCCATTGATTTAAATATCATCAAAATCAAACGATGCCTAAATTCTCAACTTAGGAGGAAGGTTGTGCCTTGGTACAAGTTGCTATGCTATGCTTTCACCTCCTAGATGGAATCAAGCACCAAAAAGAGGCTGGCAAGAATCATGTGGGGAGATTCTTAAGGATACTGGTGGTTAGTGAGGTAGGGAGAGAAAGTGTCGAAGTAAATTTGGAAGACATGATTGAAAGATTCAGAACTGATCAGTAAATTAAAATAAAGATTGTTGTGTAATTGAAGAGTATGAGCAATTGTTCTTTTGCAGCATAACCTAATATGATCTGGCGGGAATATTAGAATTGAGTCTTGGAATTTTTGGATTGAATTGATACATAGTTTTGACTGTATTTTTATGAAATAAAATTACTCTTGTTCTTAAAAAAGAATTGTTACTCCAACAAAGGCAGAAGATGCTATCTAAGGCGAACTTTGGATATGATCTGGATAGGGCTTCTCTCTTGTTCTTTTGGGTCAAGGGAAATGAGGACGAAACAAGTACTTTTGAAACATGTCAAGCAAGACTTGTTTATAGGTTTGGTCTCCAATGTAACCCCAATTTTCGTATGGGTCACTAGGGAATAATTGTGGCTCAAGTGTAATTATCACTTAATGGTTTAATATAAGGTAAGTCATATATTGGTTAGGTTAATGAAAAAGGTAATTTCCTAATATACCCTGATGGTGGGTCTATATAAAGAAACCCTAGGATTGGTCATCTCTCAAGCCATTACGTAGAATTTCTTAGCCGTCATAGAAATCTCTAAACCTAAAACCTAAAGGGGTCAAGAGGGAGAAACTCAATTCCGGTGATTACTACTCAAGCTGCCGTCGCCGCTCTCGTCATGGATCGAGGTAGGTTTCCTTGATCTATTACCGATTCGTGAAATCATCTAATTCTAAGATCCATGCTATTATGACTTCTGTCTACATCCAAACGATATACAAAGCTATCATGGGTTTATGGATAATTACATTGACCTTATGAGAAAAAAAAAAACGTAAATTTTGAGGACGTGTTCTTTCACGATTCTTCTTATGTAGAATCATTATGAGTTTTCATGTTCGAGTAATCGAGTTTGAGGCTAGTTTTTCAGGAACTTATGGAGCGGAATATTAATTTTAACAACCAACTCCTAACAATGCGATAGACTAATCACTTTGTGTCGAGTTGGATTCCCTATTGAGTTTGTGTTTAACTGTATATATATTTACTCCCTTCCCTTTGGCTTTGACTATTAGAAATTTAGAACGAAGAATTTCTCACCATTACCAATTCGTTTATTTATTTATTTATTTATTTATTATTATTATTATATAATTCCACTTACCATTACAAATTCGTTATTTATTTATTTATTATTATTATTATTATATAATTTCACTTAATTAATCGAGGCCATATCGGGCTGACCTTTGGTAACCTAATTCGTCCCTAAAGGGCTGCCACTCCCGCTTTAGCGCGTGGAAACACGAATTCTCAGCAATCCGGACATAATTCGCAAACTGAAGTTTTTTGGAACGCGTATTAAGTTTTTTGGAGCGCGGTCTCACCTTTGAGATCCTAGATGGCATCCGCAGCCGACATCCCTGTCAACGTTGTCGTCCTTCGTCAGTTGTTCCTAGCGCTCCGCCGTCTACCCCTGACTTCAACCAACTAGTACCATCCGTTGAATTCAGGCTACCTATTTTCCACCTAGAAAACTTGCATTGAATTGAAAATTGATTGCACCTTGACTTTTTGAACAACGATTACTAAACATGGTTCACACCTCTTCAAACACAATTCAAATGAAGGTGTTTGAATGATGGAGAAAGGATTGATAAACTAAATTAAGTTACTTCTACTTAGGGCTGGCGAATCGGTGTTCGGCTATCAATTAACCGCCGGTTTTAACCGAAACCGGTCGGTTTTCGACTAACCAAAAACCGTCTCCATTATTCCTCGGTCGGTGTTCGGGAAGGTTGGGGAGTGGGGCGGTTAGCCGGTTAACCGACGGTGACTCCCCAACCCTCCCAAAACGACCCCGTCCCCCCAAGTGTAACCCTAAATCCCTAACCCCTTTCTCCCCCTGCAGCCACCTACCTTCATCTCTTCTTCAGAATTGGAACAAACCAGAATTGCAGCAACCAGCCACCTACCTTCTCCCCTCGACTCTCCTCTCCAGCTCTTCCCTTCAAACCTCCACCGGCACTCCCACAGCGTCACCGTCAACCCACCATCACCTTCGTCTCCTCTTCGACTCCTCTTCTTCTCCTCTCGACTCTCTCTTCGACTCTTCCCTTCAAACCTCCACCAGCACTCCTGTAGCGTCGCCGTCAACCTGCCATCGCCTGAGTCTGCGTCTCCACCACCACGACGACCACCACGACGGCCGACGACCCAGGGCCTCTGCTCCGCCCCGACGTTCGCCTCCACTCGCCGCCACTGTGCCTCTGTTTCTCCTCCATGGCCATGGTGGCCTGTCTGGTGGTGGTGGGAGAGAGAAGGAGGAAAGGAAGGAGAAAGGAAGTGGTGAGCGGATAAGAAAGGAAGGAGAGATAAGGTTTTAGTGGTGGGCGGATTTTTGGGGACTTTTTTATTTATTTATTTTTTTTTTAAGAAAAGGGTTTATTTTTCAGATATGCGGCTAACCGAACCAAAACCGATAACCGACCGGCCGGTGGTCGGTAGCCGTGGGTGGTGGCTCGGTTTAACCGATAACCGAGAAATTGGTTTTCGGTTAAACCGAAACCAACTGACTGACACCCCTACTTCTACTCCTATGAAGGTTCAATGAGCTCCAAACTAAAAGCTATGTCTATGGCTACATGATAGAGAAAAGATAAAAAGATAAACTTGACATGTGTGTCAGTTGTGTGGTCTTGGGACCTTTGTCTCTGTCGATCCCTCCTCCTATTTATAGCCACGAGGAGGTAACCGCCATAGAAAACCGCTTGTTGGATAACTGCTACAAAGAACTGCTCCCCCTTCTTCGGTAGAAAACCGCCTCTTGGATAACTCCCAAAAAGAACCTCTCCCTACTTCCTCGGAGTGGTCGTTACTCATTCAACCACCTAGGTTCCTCTTTTGGAAATATCGTGGGTCTTGGTTAGCTTGCCTCGCCTGGTCTTGTTCTGAACTCGTGCCATGCTAGTAATTTGATCAGCATGTGGTGTCTCGCAAAGGGATCATGGTCCTCTTGCCTCATGGCCATGGACTTCTTACTCATGTCCATGGCCCTCTTGGGACTTAGTCATTAGTGATATAATACTCCACCACCACGCCCTTCTCATTCGTGTCCATGGCCACTATCGTGAGGTGCATGGACCTCTCAAACATGCACATGGCCCCTCTCGTAATGCAACATGGTCTTCCCATACTTAGTATTTTTCAACCGTATCTAATACTCCTTTCTTCGCGTCCATGGCCATCATATATGACATGGTTATGGACCTCTTAATCATCCACATGACCCTTCTAGTGATGCGGCATGACTATCTCGGATTTAGAATATTTTTTACCATACCAGGGTCTTCCTTGAGATGGCATGTGCTTCTAAATTCTAGATGGACATGGCCCTTCTGGTTGAAGAAGAACATGCCTTTCGATTTTTAGATGGACATGGCCCTCTTCGTTGAGGCAGCATGTCCCTCTCCAAACTTAGTGGCTTAAAATCAATATCCATAATGCCCAACTTAAACAACATTATTTGTTATAATTAATGTTGCCTTATAAATTACTTGATTATCTTGTAACTCACCAATGTGGTACAAAACAAATTTATAGTGTAAACACTACCTTACCCCGCCAAGTCGACGGCATCCTCGCTCCCTCTACCATGTGTTGGTGTGGAGTTTCAACCTACAGTTCTCAAAGACGATTTAACCTTTTCCGTCAGCAACGCGCCACCGCTACCGCAAGCAGATTGCAGACTCCGTTACTTTCCGTTCAATTGAGCTTGCTCGATTTTTGGGCCGGCCAATCGAGTTTGTTGATCGATTATGAGATCTAAGAGAGAAAAGTCTTATCTTAGATTGCATCTGTGCGTTTTGTTGGTTGCGTCGAACGCGAGACTTTATACCTATCTTTCAATAACTCAACCACAGATAAGCTCGATTATAATATTTTACCCAATTGAAAGACACACTAAAAGAAACCCAATTATCTGCCTACTGAGTCTGAAAATTAAAACCTTGACCGAAATACTAATCAAACCACCTCGGCTTAGTTTCTTGTTTAAAAACTTTACTTAGACTATTGATAGGAAGACCCACTTAATTAAAACCCGCTTTTAGCCTGACTGATGTTCTAGGCCTAATAGCTCAATTCAAACAGGATAAATAAATTAACCCAGAAGCCCAGCCCAACCAGTTTCTTGTCCCTACCCAATCTCTAAGTGACTGAATAAAACGACAGTGTTTTAATTCCAAAGTCAGACTAGCTTTCCCGCTTGGAACTTCGACCCAAGCTTAACCCTGCTTCTATTCGAGTGAAGAACAGGTGAAAAACAACAAGAACTCTTCAGTAGAAACCCACACAGCTATGATGAAGCGAAACTCAAACCAGCTTTACCGAGTTCTCCGACCCAGTACAGAGGTTCGTCTTCCTTGGTTGTTCTAGAGCGAACTTCCCTGCAAAACAGAGCACAACCACAGAGATGCAGACCGAACAGAAAATGAAATGCAAAGCAAGAAGACAGGCCAAGATTTTTACGTGGTTTCCGGTATTGGGAGAATAAGAATCCCAATACTGACTACTCCACGGTCGGAGACTCACAATTGAGTGATCTCCGATGATTCACTAAAGATATTTCGATGAAGTTCGATCTAGTACTTTCTACCCAAGAACCCATTAATCAATCTCAACCCGATTGATCAAACACTCACTTCTCAAACCCCGAATTGCTTCCCTAGCAACTCGTTACAGTGTTTCCCCAACACTAGCCCTCAAAGCAATTCTCCCCAAACCCTTTGAGAAACCCCCTTTTCTATCAACCTTGCTACTCTCAAAAAATCCCATTTTGTCTTGGCTAGCTTTGTTGATCACTTTGAAAAGGTTGCACTTTCTCTTCCTTCATATCGCCTTTTATAGGCTGCAATGTAGCCGTTGCTAATTCAAATTCCTTCCCTTATTAGTGATGATTTGCTTGAGAGTCCATCTTCTGATTTGATTTGCATTGTTGTACCAAATCTCCTTAACCTGATCTCTCCTCTTATTTTCCTCCTTCTTTCCATGTTTGCTCCTGATCTTCTTTCCTTCTCAAGTGGCCTTTGACTAGCTTGTTCCAACATTCTCCCCCTAAGCTGTCAATGGCCAAACTCCTCCCCCTGAACAAGATGTCCCAGAATCTGTCTAAGCTTCAGACTTCTCCTCCTAAACTTGTCAAAGGTTCATTCTTAAACTGCTCACAATCAGAACCTGCACATTTAACAAACCATTGGTGCAGCCTGTCCAATCCTCTAATCATGGCAGATCATGAGTTCAAAAGATGACAATAGGAGTCCATTTTATTCATAGTAACAGAAACAAACATCAACTGATACTTGACACTAGACCTCAGCAAGTCTTACTAAAAAATAGATTAACCAGAACTTCAACTAACATCTAAACCCGACTTCAACAACCAGACAAGCAGACCAGAAATATTAAACCGGAAAAAAAATTATTCATGGATCTCCCCCTAAGCTAAATCTCTGAAATATTCCTAGTAGGTGTACTCCGGAGAAGAAGCATACTCAGATTGAGTCGTCTTCATCATCCTCCGAAGATACGAATAAAACCTTGTTGACCTTCTTGCCAGAAGAACTGACCTCTTTTCCTTTCAGAGCCAAGGTCAGATCATGAAGTAACCCTTTTCCCTCCTTCTCCAGATTTATCCCTTCATGGAGATGTCCCAATTCCAGAACCCTCTTGCATTTTCCAGACGATTATGCCACTTCCTTTCCCTTGTCAAGTCTCGCAGGTAACGCTGCTACATTGTCGTCTTCATCAGAACCTGATTCAGACTGAGCAGGTTTGTCTCCCCCTTGAAATTTGACAAGTTTTTGGGGTCCAAGATCCGAGAGGGTGCGACGCAGGACTTGTTGGGCTTGGAGGTCAGAATGGACATCCTGGTTAGTAACCTTCCCAGGCATATCGACCCCCAAGATTGCCAGCAAAGAGGTGATTTGCGGACCAAAAGGCAGCTTCCCACTGCACTCTTCTTCTCGATATTTAATCATGTGATTAAACATAAGTGAGGCGTAGCTCATCGGGCAGCTTGTTTTGGCGTTAACAGAATCCACAGGTCAGATTCTTCGAGAGTAGTTTCCGTTTCAGCATCTCGAGGGAGGAACATGTGAGTGATGTAGAATTTCAAGGCTTTCAGATCATCAGGCAGCCGCTCAACAGAGAACATGGAGGATTGATACTTCCCATAGTCACGAGCTAGGTAGGACATAGTGTCTATGGGATGGAACCCATAGCTGTCAAATTCTTTTGTCGTCCCAGCTAGATATCCATCGTGAGGAAGATGCAGCAGAGTTGCCAACACATCAGCAGTGATTGTCACGCTAAAATTGTAGACTGTGGTGGTGAAGAAAGTCAGATTCTTGCCTGGGCCGCACTGCATACTCGCATAGAACATGCGCACAGCTTCTGGGCATTGATCAAGATAGCGATGCAGGAGTAACGAGCTCCACCCAATGTCATTCACGTACCCGTTAACCCTCAGTCTATAGCGATTGAAAGTGGTGGGTGGCATGAGAAACGTAGGATGGAGAGGACGTTCAGGTCAGTAAACTTATGGTGAGTAACCATGAGTAACTAGCCCATATCAGCATGACATCAGCATACTCTCTCTCATGGAAAGCCTTTTTAATCTTTGACGGACGATTTCTCACTCATTTTAATTCGAAATTTAATTTTTTTTTGCACAATTAGATCAGATTAATTGTGCTCTTCAAAATAATATCCACTTTAATATATTTTTCGAACAACAAAAATTGAGCCATTTTTTACCAGTCTATACCATATGGTATTGACTAGTATTGAAATAAAAGCATACCTATGGTTTGAAAAACGTACCATGGTGGTATGAACAAACCAAGAATGTAGGATGGTTGAATACATGATAGTAGAAGTATATTAATTGTCATTTACAACTTTTAACATTGTATACCACACAATTACCACCCCGTACCAGGGTGGTATTGTATGGTATTGTGTGATATTTTTTGGTCCTGTAATTTGTTCACCCAGAAATTTGTAGATCCAATAGATCATGATGAACTCGTCCCTTCTGTGCAAACGTTTTCAAAAACGATTTAAAAACGAAGAAGATACCATACAATACCACCCCGTACCAGGGTGGTATTGTATGGTATTGTGTGGTATTTTTTGGTCTTGTGATTTGTTCACCCAGAAATTTGTAGATCCAATAGATCATGATGAACTCGTCCCTTCTGTGCAAACGTTTTACAAAACGAATTAAAAACGAAGAAGATACCATACAATACCACCCCGTACCAGGGTGGTATTGTATGGTATTGTGTGGTATTTTTTGGTCCTGTAATTTGTTCACCCAGAAATTTGTAGATCCAATAGATCATGATGAACTCGTCCCTTCTGTGCAAACGTTTTCAAAAAAACGAATTAAAAACGAAGAAGATACCATATGGTATGCAGTTGGTACCGAGAGGCCAGAATTTTTTTTTCTAAAAAAATATTGAAAATTGTTCTCATTTGGTAGAGCACGATGAACTCGTTCCATCTGTGAAAAAAAATTAAAATCCAAGTTAAAACGAAAAAGATATAAGCCGATTAAGAAAGCTAGGAAACATAAAAATGATCCTTAATTTTCCATCCTTAGATCTGGATTTTCTAAATAAAGGGTCCAGATTTGATTATTGATAGATGCATAATCCATAGTTATTCATCCTATCTTGAACCGCGCGTGATCAGTCAGAGGGAGCCATATAATACATACAGTCACATCACATGACTGGTATTAATTATTAACCATCGATCGTCGCAGAAAATTGAATTGCGGGGATCCCATGGATAATCGACAGGGACGTAACAATTACAAATACGTACATTCATGTCAGATAGAGCAGTAGCGACGAAAAGGTAACCAATTATGGAATTGGATTTGGAAGCTCCTCTCAACACTTCTGGAAACGTATGCGTGCCAGCCAGGCGCCAGCTAGCTCCCGACTGACATATAATTTTCCTGTCTTTGCCATCAGCTTAAAGGTGACGACGAACAAAAGGAAGACCATGGTTCCCATTCCCATCCCATGCAAATCTATGTATTTCTATTTGGATAAGGATAATGAATCATCCTGCCAACGTGGTAATTCTATATATTTTGTCTAAGATATTTATTACTTAATTCTATTGAAAAAAAGCTAGCATGCTAACACTCAATACAGTTAAAAGCGCGATTCTACCTAGAAGCGGAAAATGGGTAAAATCGTAAAACGTAGAATCAAAGCGTAAAAGCATAAGTTTTTTACGCACCCTCTAAAATAAGTAAAATATGTTAAGTACAACATATAGTATGTAGAATGTTTGTGTAGATTTTAGATAAGTGAATAACTACATGAAATTCATAATTAAAATATAATATCTAACACAAACTAATTTGTGTTGACTCAAAAGTAGAGAAAATTCATAATATCTTAATAATAAGCTCATAAACGTAGATCGTAACCCGTAAACGAGCTTGAGAATCCAAATTCTTATAAGCTGGTTTGAGTTTACTTAATTACATACGATCAACCCATAAAATTTATCGAAACCCAGGTAAGAGCCACAGGTGAAGATTAAGGGAGAAGACTGATAGAAGGTCAGCAACTATTGAGAATACCATTAGGTGTCTTTTCAACCTAATGTGAACCCCTATCTCGACACTAGTTGTAGAACGAGTGATGAATCATGTTTTCCTTTTTTATTTTTTGCTAATATGTCTCCAAAATTACATCATTTTGGGCCAATTAGCACATTTTTATGAGATGATCAAAATCGTATAAAAACGCTTCAGAATCGCGATTTTACCGATTTTAAGCGATTTTGCCCATGTTTTTACTAGTTTTTGTAACTAAGCGACTTTAGGTAGAAACTGAAACGTTTTGGTGGCCTAGTTACATAACGTTTTAATGCGCGATTTTGACTGCATTGCTAACACTAGCTCCAACCAATAGAAATATTTCGTTTGGATAACTTTTTCATTTAAATGAGTTGACCACAATTAACGAAGGAAAAAAGAATGAGGGACACGCTAGTCACTAATGAAAATTGGGGAGAGTGGATGGGGACCAGCCGTTCTTTTTGCATTAATTGTGAAGAAGAGAAGGGAACCACCGAAGTAGGCCAGAACATTCTCAAAGTAGGTCAGAACATTATCAAAGTAGGTCGGAACCTGCTCAAAGTAAGTCATAATCTCCTCATAGTAGGCTAAAATCTCAAAGAATGCCACAACCTCAAAAGTAGGCTAGAAGTTTTTCATAGCAAGCCAGAAGTTCCTTACCAGTGGACCTGTTTGTAAATTTTAAAAAGCTTAGGTACCAAAATGTAAGAAATAAAAAATTTAGATACTAAAATGTAATTTTCCATAGATTTTTTGGGACTCAAATGTAAAAAAAATATTTTTAATACTAAATATTAACATCTATTAAGTTTAGATACCAAAACTGTAATTTATAAATGAAACATAAAAAACCAACGTAAATGGTAGGGGAAGAGAAAGAAAATGGAAGGGAGAAGAGATAGCTACTATAATACCCTTATATTAAGTGTTAATATTAACACATTATCCGATCCCTATTCCATATACTAAAAAGTCAAAACCTTCATTAACTGCGAATGAGATCGCTGTCGTGCTACTAGTTTTTAGCTTAGAACTCTCACCCTCTGTTTCCGAAGTAAGGGAGGAAAAGGAGGGGAGGTGAAGGAAAATGGGGAGGGGAGGGGAGATTTGGAAGTCAAGGAAATTGGGAGGAAAATGTCGTTTTATGAAGGAAAGTGGAAAGGAAAGTATGTATTGGCAATTGTGATAGATATGTTATTTAATTGGTTATGTAATAGTAAAATAATTAAAATGTGTATGAGTAATGGAGCAAATGTATTTTTTCTTACTAACTTGGTTCATTATTAAAAAAAAAATTCTTGATTTAAAAATCTCATTTATTTTAACTTGATTAAAAAAAATTTCATAAAAATTGGATTACCTCTCATGTACAAGATGACATCCATTTATTTCTAATAAGTTTATGTTTCGTGTAAAATGACGTTATGTATAATATAGATTAGTATTACGTAAGCAATTTTAATTTATTAAATACAGATATTAAACATTTATACGTGTCTAGTACGAGAGTCATCAAATTAAAAATAAAAACGGTAAATAATTTATATTTGCCTATCATAAGATACTTACCTAAATTATGTTGAACAACAAAAAAAAAATTATTTAAAAATATAAAATAAATTGGCCTAAAAGAATACGGGAGATGTACCTGTGAAGTGGAATAATTATGAAAACATGCATCATTATCTAACCCACCGCCATCTCCTTTTCAACTTTTAATTTTTAGTTTTTACGCTTTCTCTTCTTTTGATTTTAATATTACAAAATAAATATTCATTTTTAACCTAAATTCCTCATCGTCTGCCTTGCCAATTCATTTTTCCAGTTCCTACCGAAGCTCTTCAGCAAAGACCCCGGCACTTTCAGGTAATCCTTTCTCCTATCCAACACAGCCCGTTCCGTCTTTTTTTGTCGATTCAAGTACATTTCGGACGCCTATGCCATGAGACTTCCTCATACCTCCGATTTAGGTTTCTGTTTCGTCGAAGACTGCCTTTGCCAGCCCGCCATTTCCGACAAGTGAGATCCAAAAGATTGCATGGAACCTAGCTTATGTTTTGGACGAACTAGAGCATCCATTCCCAAGCTATCTTCATCATATCCACTTGACTTCTCTAATTTGGGGAAAGAAAATGATTTGAATATTTGCTGGTTTTTGAACGAAGAATACGAATAAGAGGAAAGATAGAAGAGAGAGGAGAGAGGGAGAGGTAAAAGAAACGGAGAAGAGGCTATTTTCTCTCCAATTTGGGGGGTCAGGTTGAACAGTGCTCATTTCCTCCCTTTTCCCTCCCTTCGGTACTGTGCATGGTTTCGGGAACAAGGAAAAGTTTCTAGGAAACTCAACTTTCCTCCCTATTCTTTCCTTTCCCTCCTTTTCCTCCCTACAAAAACAGAGGGTCAAGGAAGGTGCTCGTTTTCCTCACCTTTATAGTAGGATTTCTGAAGAATAGGTCCAGGTAAAAAAATCTATATTAACTTAATTTATTTTTATGATGTGTCATCCATGCAGCTACTTTAGTTTTGTTAAAATTAGTTTAACGAGATTAAGTCAATAGTTAACTTCAAATGTGTCATTCATGCCAACGGGCTAATATATTTGTATGGCCCGAACTTTTCAAATATTAAATATTCTAACCAATGTTTTCGATCAATAATATCATGGCCTCAACTATGCATCAAAGTTACGAAATTGACCAAATACGAGATTTGATTGTTATCTTGGATGGTCAAACACGTTGACTAACGGTCAACACACCACGTCACCGCCCAATCGGCATAATAAATGTTAAAAAATTCAAAAAAGCCACATAATCTCCGATTGCGAATTATTTCAATTAAGTTAAAAATAAATATAAAAAAAAGAAAAACAACAAAAGATCAAATACATCTTTTTTCCTCACAAACCTGCCCCCAAAACCCAACTGAACACATAATATCATCCCAAACCCATAATACATCCCAAAATTTCATCTCTAGAACCCATCACAAATCCCAAAACCCCAACAAAATCAGAAATCCTAAAAAGTCATGCACACCATAAAAAAGACTTCCCATCCCCTTGTTGGAGCAGTCACCGTCCTTTTCTTACTTTGCACCTAGATCACTTTTTGAAACGAGATCACTTTTTGAACTTAGATATTCTTTTAAACCCTTATTGGTAGCACAGTTGGTTTGGGGAGGCAGGGGAGGGAGGGAGTCGTTGATGGTTAGGAAGAAGCAGCGGGCCCTACTCTCACCAATTCTTGATGTCGCCTTTCCAGTTCCCGATGTCGCCTCGCGATCTCTCCGCCATCGTCGTCGGATCTCGTCAATCGTCATTGTCTCGATATCTTCGCCACCGTCATCGAATCTTGCCAATCGGCGCCCTCTCATTCTCTTCACCAGATTCACTGGGTCTATCCGTCATTGTCGCCGAAACTCGCTGCCTTTGGAGAGACCAGCAACTAGTGGCGGTGGAAGGTAGAAGTCACTGGATCTTGTGAAAATAGGGGAAGTAGCTAGCGCAGGAGGGTTATTTTTTGAAAGAACAAGGGATGCAACTAGCGCAGGAGGGGTCGTTTTTCGAGAGAGCAAGAAAGGAGATGAAATATGGGGTCCTTTATGTGAGGATGAAATTATTTGGAATTTTTATATTTTATTTATATAATAATTTTAATGATTCAAAATTGTAGATTATCTGATTATTTGGATTGTTTTGAATTTTTTAATATTTATTGTGTTGATTTGAAGGTGATGTGGCGCGTTGACGGTTAGTCACTACGATTGACCATCCACGATAACGGTCAAATCTCGGGTTTGGCCAAATTCGTAACTTTGATGCATAGTTGAGGTCACAATGTTATAGATCGAAAATATTGGTCGGGATGTTTAATATGTAAAAAGTTCGGGCCATACAAATATATTAAACATTTAGTTTATTTAAACCTTTCGATGAGTATTTTAGTTTAATTAAATTAACACAAACGACTAGGCCCTAGGGATGACAATTTTATCCATACCCATGGTTATTTTACTATCCAACCCAATTGAGTTGGTTATGAAATCCAAATAGATGGATATGAGTAGAGTTAGATGAGTTTGTACCTATATCCATTTACTTGGATTGGTTTGGGTTTTTAACAAATGGATTTGTACACATGCTCAAATACAAATTACAGTTTGGTACCTAAACTTAATAGATATGTATATTTAGTATCTAAATTTAATTTTTTGCATATAAGTCCTCAAAATATTGATGGAAAATTATATTGTAGTATCTAAAATTTTTTGGTCTTACATTTTGGTACCTAAGGTTTTCAAGTCTTACAAATATGTCCAATTGGATTTAAATGGATTGGATTAGGTGGATATTTTTATTAGATTGGTGGATTGGATTGAAAATTGCCACCTCTATATCCAACCCATTATCAATGGGTCTACTTGGGTTTGGTGGACGGATGACCTTTAACCAGTTTCGTATTACGAAAATCTGATGACAATAGTTGAATGTAGTTGCTAATATTTATCGTTAAATAGAAGTTGATTACTAAATTTTCTGTTCTCCGGGCAGTCTTGAAACCATGAACTAGCAATATATATTTTATTATTTGGGATTGCCCGCCTCAAGACTTTTTGAAGATTATCTTTAGTGCTGCTCTCCAAAGTGCTGGCTCCTCGTCTGGCCTGGTTGTCCGCGGCTCGGATGGGCATGTGCTTCTTGACGTGGTTGCTCAGCATTATGGTACTCGGAACCTTATCTTGCAGAACTCCTAACACAATCTCTCTTGCAACTTCTAGAAGTTTGTCTCCAGTTATCATCGAAGGCAATGCAGAAGTGGTCATCCGTCATTCTTCGAGATTGTTGTTATCTTCTTGAGTCTTGTTCTCTTTGTATAGAATTTAGGGCTGTTCCGCGGACTGTCAACTGGGCTTCTCATAGAGTGGCACGTAAAGCCCTGTTGCTGTCCCGGTTAGGGTTAGTTTCTTTTGACTTTGTTGGTTGACTTGTAAGTGGGATGGGAAGGGATTGTGGGTAGTGGTTCTTTCTAACTATGTTCTTGACATTTCTCGGGAAAAAAAAATTATATATATATATATATTTTTTATTATTTAGTGATGATTGCTCTAATGATTTTTTAACTAAATTAGTAGTATAGGATAATTATTTATTAATTAGGATGCTAATTTACAATTATCCGGAAAAGATTACTGGCGTCCAAAGAGGATGGACTAATAATTGCCATCATCCCCCACGGCAAAAACACTCGGCTGTCATCCACAAACTTTCCCATTTTCCACTCAGTCCCAGCCAATGATTCGATTTCCGAAGGAGGATTACAAAACTAAAAATCATATACTAACAAGTAACACCATATGCTTTATTCCTTCTCAGAATCATTGTCCGGCTGCTTTCTTTTCCCTCTTTACCAAATCCCCCTAAAACAAGGATTCTGCAAATACATTCCATTTTCCACCGAGGCCCCATGAGATTTGTTATATGCTAGCTATAACACATAAAGATACTAAGCATCTTTCTCCAACCTTCATCCAAAAGGAAAATAGAAAAACTCTCCTTTGGGTCATCAATCTTATTAGTAGGTAGCTAGTAGGCATAGAATTACTGGATGTTTCCCATGTTGAATATACTGCAACTCGTTATTCGATTCTATGACCTATACAGTTAAATGATCCCACGCCACGAGTAATAATAATCCATAATTTAAATGATTGATTTTATTTTGGAGGAAAATTAAAAAAATTCACTGCATTTTAATAGTTCTTATTTGATTCGACAAATATATTTCGAAATTTTGATAAGTTCATCATAAAGCTTATGAGGAACTTTTGACTTTCGAGCATGGACAATAAGAGTTTGTTGAATTCAATTGCTTTTAGTTTTAGGGCTAATACCACTGGGAAACCCGAACTATTAACTTTGTGTCATTTGTGTCCTAAAGTATTCGATATGACATTTGTGTCCTAAACTATTTTTTCGTTAGAGTTGACCGACGTTGACCGTTAGATTTTAACAGAAAGTCTAGTCAGCACTGATGTGGCATCTGACGTGTCCCAAAAATATTAATTTTTAATTGTTTTCCATATAAGAAAAAAGAAAATGAAAAATTTACCAAAGAAAAACTGATCCGGGGATTCTTTTTGGTGACCCGGCTTCTCCGTCATCCCTTGCCGCAATTCACCACCGACGACTTGCCCAGATGACGAGTCATCCCTTGCCGCAATTCACCACCGACGGCTTACCTAGATGACGAAAGATGGTAGGCGGAGAAGTTTGAGCAAGAGATTCTCGGTGTCGGGTGAGCCGGGAGGAGATGCCGCCACAAGCAAGCTGCTGGAGGAAAGGCCTTAGTAGATCCAAACATCAGAGTTCGCCAAATCGATTACTGAGATTTTGCGGCAGTGCGGCGACTCTGGTCTGGGCCGCAGACTCTGATGATGGCGACGGTGGGCTACGAGGGTTGGAGATAGAGACAAAGACGGAGATGAAGCGAGATGAAGCAGATCTCTGCCCGGACCTGGGCATTGGAGACGGAGATGACGCAACTCGACGAAGGAGGCACATTCTTGATGGCTTATGGCCTGATGAAGGAGGCACTGATGGGAGCCTTAGTTCCATCTTTCTCGCGTCTCTTTAACACAGTCGCCGTCCGGATTCAACGTCTGGATTCTTTGGCTGGCTCTTTAGGATGGTTTAGCTATAGAAGGGTCGGATTTGGCGGAGGATGGTGGAAGTGCTGGGAAAGAAGATTTTTGTTAAGAAAATTTTTTTTACTTTTTTTTTTACTTTTTTTTTCATAAATAAACTGATGTGTCAGCTGACGTGGCCGCCACATATGTGCCACGTAACCAACGGTCAACATTTCACTGATGACCGTTAGGTCAACCGTTATCTTTAACGGTCAACAAAATTGCTAGGACATAAATGAGACACAACAATCATACGTCATGACACAAATTTCATATCGAATACTTTAGGACACAAATTACACAAAATTAATAGTTCGGGTTTCCTAGTGGTATTAGCCCTTAGTTTTACTGTCAGGAAAAAGAAGGGGCGAGATGGAATTGGGGAGCCATCCCCATAGCCAAACAAACAAAATTTGTATCTACTCTATTCAAAAGCTAGCCATGGTTCTTTCTACAATGAAGAGAGATGGCTAAGCTGGCAACAGCTTCAACTTGGCGTCCTCCTCTGCCTCACGCGTATCTACACTCGCATCCTTTATTTCTCTCCTTCCTTCCATTCCATGCGACCATGCCCCCATCATCTCTCATTCTCTAATCTCTACATATAAATACCACTTCGATCTGCCTCAACAATCCTCTTCACAACTCAAACAAACCCTTCTCCCTTCTTTTTCCCTCCACTAATCCCTCTCGTCCCCGATAAACCCTAAACCTGAAAATGGGTACCTCCTCTTTTCATCAAAGCCTGCTCATTTCCATGGCTGTGCTAGCCACGATGGTCGGAGCTGCCATCGGTGGTAACAAGGAGCATAGAAGATGATGATGCTCCTGTTGATCTGAAGATCAACAAGCTAGTTGCAGGTTGCTGGCCCTGTTGTGGAGGAAGAACTGCTATTGAAATGAGAAGAACAGAGCCAGCAAAAGAGAAGCCAAACGACGACGCAGAGAAGGCGACATACAAGCAACGCACCGTTTTATCATTAGAGTAGTAAAGGCTTTTTCACTGTACAGCTTTACACGTGTATAGATTCTATTAGTGGTTAGCTTACAGTAACTATAATGGCTAGGTAGATTCCTTTTGCCTTTTCACTCTGTAAATCTGTATATCTTCTCTGCGTAATGGAAAGCTCATCATGAGCAATTCCCCCAATTATTCAATCTTCTGGAAATCTTCTTATGGTATCAGAGCGCTGCTCATCGCGTTAAGATCCGTCATCCATCGTCATTCGATCTTTTCTTCTGTTTTCTCGACTTCATCTCTTTTTTCTGAGTCCTTGTTGTATCGGCAATGGCAGACGACAGCGATTCCCAGAAATTAGATCCAAACTCTGAATCCTCCAACACTTCAAAGGCTGTGATGCCTTCGTATGAAGACCCATACCTCAACCCTTTCTATCTTCCACCACAGGATGGAGCATTACCCACCATCATTTCCATCAAGCTTGTTGATGGCAACTATCACACCTGGAGTGAGGTCATGCTTCTGGCGCTGGAGACCAAAAACAAGACCCAATTCATTGATGGCCGAATTCCAGTACCTCAGGTAACAGATCTAACTACCAATCCTGGGCTCATTACAATGGCACTATACGCTGCTGGATTTACAACTCATTGTCAGATGATATTGCGAATAGTGTCATGAGACTAGGGCTAGCAAAGGAAGTTTGGGATAATCTGAAAAATTGTTTCAGTCAGGAAGATAATATAAGGGTCTATGATCTCAATGGTCAACTTTCGAAGTGTGTTCAGGGTGATAGATCAGTGAGCCAGTATTTCACTGATATCACAGTGAAGAACATAAAAGATACAGACCCATACCTGTTTGTCCTTGCAACCCTGGACCTTATGAGACTCTGAAGAGGTATGAGGAAAATGATTTCGTCATTAAATTCCTTCAGGGTCTGAATCCTGTATACCAATCAGCCAGGACACAAGTTTTGATGTTGCCTGCTCTGCCTCATATTGATACAGTCTTTAAGCAGATCTTACAGCTTGAACGACAACTGAAGGTGTCAAACAGTAAGAGTGCTGGTGTTGAGACCCTTGCCCTTGCCGCTGGAGCCTCTGGTGGTAACCAATTTCGGGGAAAGGGACAACGGCAGTCAGATGGGAAGAAAGTATGTTCTTACTGTAAGAAAGAAGGACACCTCATCAAGGACTGTTTCAAACTGAAAAATAAGAAAGCAAGGGAAGCTTCAGAGGGTGTTTTTGCAGGGTCATTGGAAAGTTCTCTCACGAATGAGAACTCTTCTGGTTCCAATGACAGTAAGGGACAGGCTGGACTTGAGAACATATTTACACAGGATCAAATGAAGAGACTGAGGCTCTTGTTGTTCAAGTAACCATCACCATCTCCATCTCCACCAAGCTCTTCTTCACTCCATACTGCCAATGCAGTGACCAAAGCTGTGACTTCACACAGACCACCTCCCATGTCATCTTATCTTCCATCAAGTTCAGGTACCACTGTCCTCTCCACTCTGATAGCTTCCTCAGGAGAACCTTTATGGGTGTTAGATACTGGTGCTACAGATCACATTATCTGTAGTACTAAGTATTTCAGTAGATACAAAACAGTGAATGATGTCTTTGTTACTCTACCAACTGGAGAGCAGGTCCAGGCCACGCACATAGGCATTGTTCAACTTCCATGTGGCTTGTTTCTTTCACAAGTCCTTTTTGTTCCCAAATTTAGTTACAACCTAGTTTCTGTCAGTAAATTGACAAAACAAAACCCAGTCTCACTCACTTTTCAATCCTCTTTCTGTGTTATTCAGGACCTTATTACACAGAAGAGGATTGGTTTAGCCCAAGTGGATAGAGGATTCTACCTTTTCACCAAGACACCAAGTTCCAACTCATCTGTCCAGTGTCTTGCAGCCACAAGTTACAATTTTCAGTCCCAGCCTTTTGATCTCTGGCATGCCAGACTAGGTCACCCTCATGTTTCTAGAATTCAAGCTATTAGCAAGCAATTTTCTGATGTAACAGCTCACAAACTTGTTCACTGTGATGTTTGTCACTTAGCCAAACAAAAACGGCTTCCATTTCCTTCTAGTACCAGTCTGAATCCTAGTCTTTTTGGATTAATACATGTTGACATTTGGGGATCTTTGAATACAGTGTCTTACAATGGTTTTAGTTATTTCATAACTGTGGTTGATGACCATTCTAGATGTGTGTGGACCTTTCTTATGAAACACAAGGATGAGGCCAGACCTCTCCTTCAATCCTTTTGTTCTATGGTTAAAAATCAGTTTGGAAAAACAGTTCAGATAATCAGAACTGACCAAGGTCATGAGTTCCATATGCATGATTTCTATCAAGCTAATGGAATCATTATTCAAATGAGTGTAGTTTACACTCCTCAACAGAATGGGAGGGTTGAAAGGAAGCATCAACGCCTCCTTAATGAAGCAAGAGCACTGAAGTTCCAGTCTGGTTTGCCTCTTGCCTACTGGAGTGATTTTATCCTCCATGCAGCTTATTTGATTAACAGGACACCCACTCCTGTTCTTCAAAACAAAACCCCCCTTTGAAGTTTTAAATCAGTTGGCACCAGATTATGCAAACCTGAGAGTTTTTGGATGTTTGGCTTATGCAGCCACATCAGGACAGTCTAGAACCAAGTTTGACCCTCGAGCCAAACAGTGTGTTTTCTTAGGTGTGCCTGCTGGTATCAAAGGTTTCAAACTACTGGATTTGAATACCAGACATGTGTTCATTTCTCGGGATGTAATCTTCTATGAACACATCCTACCTTTCAAACTTCCAGTTTCTGATTCACAGTCTCCTTCTACTTCTCATCCTTCAGATATTCCTTCCACAGCAGACTTTCTTTCCTTTCCAGCTTCACCTATTCATCAGCCTGAAGGGGGGAGCTCAACCCCTATTTCATTCTCACAGCCTGATGAACTTGGTGAAGCTCCATCTGCTGATGAGTCTCCTGATCCTTCTTTTAATTCTTCATCACCATCTCTTATCTCTTCTCACACTCCTGCTTCTACTCATCCTACTTCTCCTACTCAATTTACCTTTTCACCTTCTCCTTCTCCTCATGAAGATCCTCCTATTCCTCTAAGAAAGTCATCCAGAAACATAAAACCTCCAGCATGGCATGCTGACTATGATGTTGAACATCCAATGCACAAAAGCATTGCTTATTCACACTTGCAACCAAGACTTCAGAAATTTGTGAACTCCCTAACCACTCATGCTGAACCAAGAACTTACATTGAAGCTTCTGAACATCCAGAATGGAATGAAGCTGTAAAAGAAGAATTGCATGCTTTGCTTGCAGATGGAACTTGGGAAATCACAGATTTGCCAGAAGGTAAACATGCCATAGGTAACAAATGGGTGTTTAGAATTAAACTGAAGTCAGATGGCACGATTGATAGATACAAAGCAAGGTTAGTTGCTAAGGGGTATACACAAGTTTATGGGGTTGATTATTGTGACACTTTTTCCCCTGTAGCAAAGATGTTACTGTCAGTGGCAGCAGTTGAGGGTGGCACTTACATCAAATGGATGTAAGTAATGCCTTTCTTAATGGAGATCTATCAGAGGAGGTTTATATGGTGTTGCCACCTGGTTTGGATCCAACTGAAAAATACAAAGGAAAGGTATGTAAGTTAAGAAAATCCTTGTATGGTTTGAAGCAAGCTAGCAGGCAGTGGTATGCTAAATTGACAGAAACCTTAATCAAGCATGGCTTCAAACAATCACCTTGTGATTACTCAATATTCACTGCTCAAATCTTAAATGAGTTGGTTGTTTTGATAGTGTATGTTGATGATATTGTATTGGGAAGTCTCAGTCTGGAAGCAATCAATTCTGTCAAATCTATGCTGCATGCTGACTTTAAAATGAAGGATTTGGGAGAGCTTAGTTACTTTCTGGGTTTGGAGGTAACTCGTGGGAATCAAGGAATCACAGTATCTCAAAGGAAATACTGTTTGGATGTGTTGTCAGAGTCAGGCTTTGAGAACTGTAAGTCTGCTCCAACTCCTATCTTTATCAAGGAAGTTTTATCTTCCTCAGGAGGGGAACCTCTTAATGACATCAGTGGATACAGACATCTTGTGGGACAACTGCAGTACTTGACCACAAGAAGACCTGATATCACATTTGCTGTACAACAGCTTTGTCAATATCAGGACAAACCCACCACATTGCACCTCAGAGCCCTACTTCGTGTTTTGAGTTATTTAAAAGGCTCACCAGGACAAGGTTTGATCTACTCTAAGGATACTGAACTTCAGTTGAAGGGATATAGTGATAGTGATTGGGCAACCTGTCCAGATTCCAGGAAGTCCATCACTGGCTATTGCACATTCCTTGGCAATGGTTTGATCAGTTGGAAAAGCAAGAAACAGACCACTGTGTCTCGTTCATCATCAGAAGCAGAATACAGGGCTTTGGCCAGTTTGAGTTGTGAAGTGCAGTGGCTGATCAAATTCCTTGCAGATTTTGGTGTTTCACATGAACACCCAGTCCTTATCTATTGTGATAATCAATCTGCAATGCATATTGCAGAGACTCAAGTTTTCCATGAAAGGACAAAGCACATAGAAGTGGATTGTCATGTGATAAGAGAGAGAGAGTTCAATCTGGTATGATTTCACTTCATTATGTTCCTACTGAATTGCAACTAGCAGATATCTTTACAAAGAGTTTATCTATCGATCGATTCATTGTGCTATTGTCCAAGCTGGGAGTATATAATCTATACTCGCCAGCTTGTGGGAGGGTAACAAGGAGCATAGAAGATGATGATGATGCTCCTGTTGATCTGAAGATCAACAAGCTAGTTGCAGGTTGCTGGCCCTGTTGTGGAGGAAGAACTGCTGTTGAAATGAGAAGAACAGAGCCAGCAAAAGAGAAGCCAAACGACGACGCAGAGAAGGCGACATACAAGCAACGCACCATTTTATCATTAGAGTAGTAAAGGCTTTTTCACTATACAGCTTTACACGTGTATAGATTCTATTAGTGGTTAGCTTACAGTAACTATAACGGCTAGGTAGATTCCTTTTGCTTTTTCACTCTGTAAATCTGTATATCTTCTCTGCGTAATGGAAAGCTCATCATGAGCAATTCCCCCAATTATTCAATCTTCTGGAAATCTTCTTAGGTGGCAACTTCTACCAGGACTTCGATTTAACCTGGGGAGGGCAGAGAGCCAAGATATTCGGCGGCGGCCAGATGCTGTCTCTGTCTCTTGACAAGACCTCCGGCTCTGGATTCCAATCCAAGAAGGAGTACTTGTTCGGCCGGATCGATATGCAGCTCATGCTCGTCGCCGAAAACTCTGCCGGCACCGTCACCGCTTACTACGTACGTAATGCCAGCCCAAACCAAATCACACCGCTTTGCTCTGTTTTTCACTTCAAACTTCTTCCTCTATTTTTTTCTCCCATTCTCTTCTGCAGCTTATTTGACAAAAAATTTATGTGTGTGCTTTCAATGTTGCAGTTGTCATCTCAAGGCCCAACTCACGACGAAATTGATTTTGAGTTCTTAGGGAATGTGAGCGGAGATCCTTATATTTTGCATACGAATGTGTTCACTCAGGGGAAAGGTAACAAAGAGCAGCAGTTCTACCTCTGGTTCGACCCAACCAAGAACTTTCACACTTATTCCATCATCTGGAAGCCTCAGCATATCACGTAAGTCTCCGATCAAGCTTGATCACATCACTTATTCAATGAAAATGTGTTACATTATAGCTAAAATAAAATTTGACACATGTAATGATTATATTATGCAGATTCTTGGTGGACAACACCCCGATCAGGGTATTCAACAATGCCGAGAACAGGGGAGTTCCATTCCCCAAGAACCAGGTGATGAGGCTGTACTCAAGCTTGTGGAATGCAGACGATTGGGCGACACGCGGAGGGTTGGTGAAGGCCGATTGGTCCAAGGCGCCATTCACTGCTTACTACAGGAACTTCCAGATCACCCTTGTTTCTTCTTCCTCGTCTCGTGGCGCGTTTACGAATGGAGACTGGCAATCAAATGCATTGGACGCCAACTCCAGACGGCGGCTGAGATGGGTGCAGAAGAACTTCATGATCTATAACTACTGTACTGATCTCAAGCGCTTCCCGCAAGGCCTTCCTACCGAGTGCAAATGATTTGATTAGTGGCGTTTATTAGAATTTGGGTCTTGTTTGTATAGTCTGCGTGCGTGGAACCAAACTGTTTGTCTTTTGTTCATTTCCGCTCTCCAAAATAATTTCCACTTGTAATATATCTTTCCCCCTCTTGATTCAATGCCATATTGCAATTCATCAACTTGAAGTCTTTGAACAGGCAATGCCATTTCTTAGGACACTGGAAATTTCTAAAATTTTCATTTATACTTCCATCGAAATAAATGAATATATAATTGTATAATATAAGTCTGATAAAAAAATATAGATAAATTACTAAGTTATTTCATACTACAAATACACATGATCAATTAAGTAATGAAAACAACCCTTTATATTTGAATTCCATTTCCCATAACGGCTTTTATAGGGTAAGTGGTCCATGTGACATTTTTTCCCCCTCATGGGATCATTTTATTCATCAAATCAACCAATTACCAGTAAGACAGGGATTCCTTCCCCTAGAATGTGGTAGATGTTGCGATTCAAGATTTAGGGTAGAAATGGTCTAAATGGTCAGTGTGTTGCTTTGCTTCTTTATATATCAGCTAGTAATCAGTTTTACAGATAAACGCCATGTGTCACACTCTGGCTGGCTATGTTTAAACACTAACCTATTCCTTAACGGCTAATCCAACATTAGAGTAAAATGGTGTGTAGCACCACCATATGAACTAGCCTCTATGGCTTATCCCGAAACATTTCTCTAGGAGAGGTTTCGGGTCTTCTTTTTCTTCAACTTGGATTCCTTCATTTCATCAACTTTGTCACGCCCCTTCAAGTATATGGTATGGCGGGCCTGTTCAAACTTTAAGCACATGAGTCGGCTTTCGTTTGAGGGGGCATGTTAGAGAATGTGATAATATCCATAATAACTAGGGCTGGGATCTACGATCTAGACTGAGAGGCTAAAATATAGACCACAAACCAGACCACAAACTATACGGTCTAGACCAGACCCCGCCTGTGCGGTCTGGTTCGGTACAGTCTGGTCCATATAGACCACACTGAATGAAATGTGAACAACTTGATTAGTCAACCACACAATAAATTTAACCAATAACCAAGAAAAAAAATATTTTTTCCTTAAAACATAAATTTCAACATGCATGAATTATTTTGACACTATAAATCTCAGTAAATTACAAAGATACAAAATCAAAGCATCACAACTTGCACCACAACACCATAAACATTAATATTATATCATATCATATCATATAGAGACACGATCGTCTCTACTCTGTGGTGAAATGTGGTTGTGAATCAAAGAGGGGATGTGATTCTCAAAATTAAGATGAAGACTTGGGTATCGTTGTGAAAGTTGGGAGAGTGATCGAGTGGGTTGCTAACACGTATTGAGAAGTTGGTTGGGTCCACGGTATGTTTCGATAAATCGCGGTTAAGACCAAACCAGATCAAGAGAGAGAAAAATCATTTAATATAGACCATATACCAGATCAGATCATACTTAATGGTCTACGGTCCAAACCAAACTGTACAGTCTGGTTTAGATCATGGTTTTTCAAACGGTCTGGTCTATTTTCCCAACCCTAATAATAATCTTATTCTAACAACTCGAGTTATTAGGACCAACATGACAGATACGAGGATCAACCATTTTTTAGCTGGTGGTGGGGCTTGATCATAATTGAGACTCCGCCATAAAAGTATTGGTCCAACAACTGAATCGGATTTGGGGTAGGAGAGTGAACTGATCATCAGCCGAATTTATTTATTTATGAATTATGATGGATGCTTTGTGTCTTGTCATTTATGTGCTTGCTGCTGCCTTCCTAATGAGTTATTTGGCTTTCTCGTTGGATAGAAGTAGTACTTGGGCATCATTAAGAGCGGTAGGTAGCTTAGCTTGCTAGTGAGAACGATCATTTGACCACCGCCAGTAGGTAAAGCACCCATCTCTCAAAGTCTCAAACTCTCCGCGACAAATTTTTATGAAGGTGGCCATGGCTGGGTTAACCAATAATTACTACAACCGACTAAAAAGCAAAATAATTTTAGGTTACCAGAAAGTTCATTTGTTGATAGTATGTTACCCTTGGGCTTATTCGGATTGCTACCCAAATTGAGGCCCACATAGCCCAACTAGACCCAATAGACTAAGCAAGCCCAACGAGACACGCGGGAGCGTAAAGCGTGCAAATAAGACTAGAGACATGGCAGATAGTGAAGTAGGCATCCCGGCCCGTTGGCCGGATACATTATATCAATAATGTAAACAATCATAGTAATTATTTGAGAAAACTACATTTTTATCAACTACCATAAAAGAGTTCAATTATTCATTATTGAAAAAAGAGCATGGATCATAAATATTTGACAGACTAACAAATTCATCAACTAACGCTATTAACGGAAGTTAAAAAATTATACAAGGGAATCAGCTCCTAAAAACTTGCTTCATCCACAACAATAATAACGCCTTCATTTTCGTTCACGACACCTTATTTCGACTATGAGCAATATATACAATTTAACATTCTCTTCCTTCTTCGGCAGTGGGTCTCGTCCTTGTATATGTTTCTTTCTTCTTTTCTTTTTTCTTTTTTCTTCAAGGGTTCTTCGTTTGGTATTTCGGCTCTTCTTTTTTGCTTCCTTTTGGTTTTGCAGGCCTATGAAGAAACAGGGGCCTTCTGGCGGGCTTAGTTTCCTTGGTAGGCCTGGTTCGGTTTGCACCTCTCGTGCGTTCTTGTACTAGGAACTCACTTGTTTTGTTTTTGTTTATTGCCCTTATAAAAAAAAACATTCTCTTCCTTCTTCTCCTAAATTTCATTGAAAGCAACATTTAATGCTAAATATTTTTCAAATATGAAACATAATTTAGATATGACATGTTCAAGTAAAGAATAATTTTACGATTTACTCTTACTCGCTAATACAATTCTATCGCCACAATGAATTGCGTCTTCTTTCTTCTCAACAATATCATTATCTCCGTAACTGAATATACTACTTCCATCATTAAAAGACTCTTCTCCTCCTCCTAAATAATTGAAAGCAAGAACTCAAAAAAAAATCCTCCTGAAACTTTTTTTCATACTATTTTAGTTTTTACTATATACTACATGCAGAGATAAACTTTCCTCTAATCAATTACTTCAAATTTTGAAATTATTTGAATGGAGTTGGAAATAAATGTTTGCTTTTTGCAGGAGTTAACAAAACGAATGCTTATATTTTTGGTTGTGGATGTCAAACTCCAACTAAAAAGTATTTAGAGTCTTGATGAAAACTTTGATCGTCCAATAGTTATAATATGTGATGTACTTTTTGTGCATTATAATTGTCGATCACATTCCTATTCAGATTAATCGTTTAAAAGAAATATGTCTATAAAAATAGAAACTTGATGTGAATTGAATGATTGAGCTTGTGATTATTCAATTCGACTAACTTGATGTGAATTTGACATGTCTAACATATGTGTCGCCTTTTTGTGTTGACCAATAGAAGAGATATACTAAACAGACTCGCTTTACCTAGAGTTTAGAGTGACCATAGTTATAGCAAATTACTTCTGATTAGCTTATTTTTTTGCTTGCCCATTATTTAAGTACGATAAAGTAAAATGCTATAACCTTAAACTAAAAAAGGAAAAGGATTATGCCGAACAAATATAAAAGAAGCTGAAGGCCAACCTACTACTGGAATCCTATCTCCCTCACGAGTCATGCCTCAACGTCCACGAATAAATAAAATGAGATTGTAAAAGTAGAAGGTCGCTTATAACCTTCGTGAAGTATGCTCAGGCCTGCAATTTATGTTTTAACTCACACCTGACGAGGAATTTTCTTATACGAGTGGGTAGAAGTACGTCTGATAGGACATACGGAGTGTTAATTATGTAGCTACTGACGGAGCATTAAATGCGAACGTGAGCGTGGCCTCAGGAAGGTGATTCCCAGTACACGCATAGCAGAGCATTAAATGCTCGTACAAATGACCATTGGCTACAAATACCACTCAACCATATAATTTAATGGTAACTGACCAACCCCAATCTCTCTCTACTTTCTTTCTCTAAAATACGTTCTAACTTGCTCTTTGGAGAGTGTCCGAGGCCCCCACCTCCGTACCATTGCTGTAGGGTCAAGGTCACCGGCAAGCGTCCGACAGGAGGCAAGATCTTAGCAAAAGTGGTCACTCGATCAATACGTCTGGTACCTTCTAGGCTTAAACAATTTGGCACCACCGTGGGGCAACATTTTGAAAAGATCCTAGTCTTCTTGTCGCTAGCAATGGTGGGAGATTTGACAACTCCGCTCAAGGGAGTAATCAACACACAGATGCTGGGGGGCTCTCACCCCAAATCGAAGATGAAATGGATCTAGAGGACCAAGTTAATGGGCATGGGAAGTAGATTTCCGAGATAATGGATAGCATTGGGAAAATTTTGGCCCTTATGAGCGAGGAAAGGAAGCAAGGAGATGCCCGCCCAGAAAGCTCCGCAGCAAAGAAGGGCAAGGGAAAACAGAAGGCGTTGGTCATCGAAGAAGATCCATACGATGTGGAAACGGAGGAAGACCAGCCGGAGGCGGATCTAAGCTTATTGGAGGAACACCTGCAATCGTGTTTTGGAAAAGGGAGCGGAAAGGGAAGGCCAACGTACTGCACAACCCGCTGGCGAAGGGACTATTCAAGAACCTGATACTTTTCATTGTTAGGACTACCAACGTATGATGGAAGCTCTGACCCCAGTGATCATCTAAGCGCATTCACCCTGAAGATGCAGTTGATCAACGCCTCAGATGCAGATCTGTGCAAAGCCTTTCCAATAACCGTTGGGGGGCGATGCAGGACGTGGTTCATATCGCTTTCGTAGGGAATCATCGAGAACTTCGAACAATTCACAATGTTGTTTTCATTGAAGTTTGCATTCTAGATACGCCGCAAAATGATGGTATCCGCTTTGATTAATTGCCACTAGGGGACGAAGAGACGCTAACTGAATTCTACGACATGTGGAACACGATAGCGTGTAAAATTCAAGGAATTACACCTGGGGTCGCGGCGGGAAATTTAATAATGTCCCTCTGTAGCAAAGAAATCCAATGAGAGTTGATCAAGAAGGAGCATTTCTTGAATACATGGCCAGAGTTGAATAACCTAGTCCAGCGAGCCATAACTTTGGAAGAGACCCTGGCCACGGAAGAGGCAAATGCTCTTACGGGTGTGAAAGAGGGAGAGAAAGACTGCGCGAAGGGAAGAAATGGAATCGCTCGCCATCGCGCATGGGTAGATCGCTCGAGCATCTTAATCTCAAGGCAAAATATATTGAGACGAAGGGTGCAGAGAAGTGTACGTAACAGGAAGATAAGGAGAGGAACATCCTCCCGGGCACAGGAAGAAAGAGGCAAAATCAAGGATCCAAGGCAGCAAGAGACTAGTCAACCGTAAATTGTGCGACTGGCAACAGAGAGCGACACATAACACCGCGGACTATCGTGATAGGCTGGAGGCTAAGAGGCAGGAGAAAAAAGAATGCAAAAGGTCATGGTCATCGAGACAAAGACACAGCCGATCCCCCCGGGATCTTTCCAGGTCAAGAGATCGACGACGGTCACGCTCTTTGAGAAGAAATCGGTCCAGGACTTCAATGCGAAACCGGCCCCCATCACCACCCCAAATGTCACGGAACGGGAGGCAACATCATCATGATGAAGATGACCTAGAAATCATAACTATCGCCGGCGGGTCGCAATAAGACACCTCAAGTGAATGAGGGGAAAACCACTAAGGTTCTCGCATTGACAACCGGACTGCCCGCCAAAGTGACATTCAACTCTTCAGAGCCCGTCGATCCGGATGCGGCGGAGGATCCCCTAGTCATCGCATTCCGCATAGGAAAATATAAAATCACAAGAATGCTCATTGACAAAGGGAGCTCGACCGACATTTAGTTTTTCTCAACATTGAAGAATATAAAGAAGGGAAGCGAGGATCTAAGATCGTCGGCCACGCAGCTGGTGGGTTTCTCCAGATAAAAAATCAGAGAGCTTGGCTTAATTATCCTGCGCATCACGGTCGGCGAAGGAGGCGTAACTAAAACAAAGCCCATGGAGTTTTATGTAGCGGACTGTCCTTCGGCGTATAATTCAATCCTGGAAAGAGGTTTCCTCGTCGCTTTTGAAGCAGTTCATCAACATGTCAGTAAACGCTAAAATTTCAGGTTGGAGGAAAATTGGGAAGCATGAAAGGAAATTCGCAACAAGCATGGGAATGCTACTAGACAACCATGGAACAGTTGGAAGTCAAGCTGGTGGATATGAGGGGAAACACACCAAGGCCAGAAGCGTTAGAATCGGAGACTTACCCTTTATGCTCTAGGAGGAAGAACCCGACAAGAAGGTAAGACTATTAGCACACATTAAGGCTGAAGAGACGGAGGCAATGCTACAGTTGGTAGGAGAGTATGCCGATTTTTTCTCATGGGGACCCGATGATATGCCAGACATACCGAGGGAATTAGCGGAGCACCACTTGTCTATTAATCCCAACGCAAAGCCTATTCAACAGAAGCGACACATCTTGCCATTGGAGAAACAGATATCGTTAGACGAAGAAGTAAAGAAGCTCCTGAAAGCGGGATTTATAAGGGAAGTGTGATACCCCCACGTGGCTGGAGAATTGGGTATTCATGAAGAAAAGCTCGGGTTTGTGGAGAATGTGCATTAATTTCACAAGCCTGAACAGCGCCTGCCCAAAAGACGCATACTACTTCCCCGCATAGATCAACTCATCGACGCAACCGCCAATCACGCTAACACGCTTCTACCGTCACACTAGAAAGTGGCCAAGTGTAACCACCTACTAATGCCTAGTATAGCGGGTTTAGTTCTAATTGTCAACCCGAGTCCTAGGTGTGATGACTACTCCGTGAAAGTCTTGTTATCTAGCGGTTCAAGTGTAGTGAAGGTTCAATTAAACTAGCAAGTAAAGCAGTGAAAGTTGTGTTCAAGTTGAGAGAGGTCACTTGGATATGGTTCCCCCTAGACTGCAGTTAAGCCAGGTTGTAATTGACCAAGTTCAAGTTCAATGATAGTTATATTGCAGGAGGTTCTTAAACAGTCTGTAGTCTCGACTAAAGGTCTCCAGACCCTCTCAATCTGAGTCCCCAGCGGGCGACTAACCTCCACCGGAGTAAGTAGATTGAGGCCCTAACAAACCAAACCTCCTCTACGAAGTAAATTCGGTACAGAATAGTGAATCACCTCATCGACTAAAGTTGTCAATTCACTACCTTCAATCAAGGGTGCTCTATCAACCTAGGAAGATATTCTCTTTCTAGGTCAAAGCAGAAATAACAAGAATTTGATCAGGATTCATGCCATTCAAGAAATCAAACCTCAATTGAATATAATCATATCACTGAATTCGTACTTGGGTTCATACAATCATACCTAACATACAAATCTAGGGTTCTTCATACCCAGGTGAATGAGAAAGTTACTCCATAGAGAGAGACGTGAAATCTAGCTCAGACGCGGAAACCATACTGTGAAGGATGCGATTCTGCTTCTGGCAATCAATCAGCAGCTCTCCAAGCTCAAGCCGGGATCCAATGGTGATGAAGATCGATCTAAGGCTCTTGAAGAATCAGGTTCGTCACTTTCTCTCTCTAGGTATACACTTTGTCTCTCTAAAACTCCGAACCCTTCAAAAATCAGGTTCGTCACTTTCTCTCTCTGGGTAATCCCCGGTCGGGTAATTCAGGTGCCTGGACGGGGATTTTGAAACGCAGCGCAGCGGTGAAGGGCTTAATACCCGATCAAGATCCAGAATACCCGATCGGGTATTTTTTTTCTCTCTGGCCGGGACCCCTTCTTGACTTCAGACCTCCCAAACTGCTTTTCCCCAGCCTCGCCTTGCATTTTACCCCGCCAGGTATTTTAACTCCTGGCCGGGTATTTTGCTCTTCCAGCGCCCTTCTACTCAAACATCCTCCTTTTGACCCAAAACTCGTTCCTTCTCCTTCACGTCAACGCCAAGTCCTGAAATATGACATAAACACAGGACCTAGCGTGAAATCTGCTTAAAACACGAGAACCGACTCTCAAACCGCTCAAGAATGGAGGTATAAATATGTGTAATTATTGGTCTATCACACGCCATGCTAAGTTTTCTGGACATGTTTTCAGGCTATCATAAAATATGCATCTCGGAGGCACACCAAGAAAAGACGACATTTATGACGCATATGGGGAATTATTGCTGGATGGTCATGCCTTTGGCTAAAAGAACGCAGACGCAATTTACCAAAGCATGGTAGATTCGGTTTTGCATAATTAATTGGGGAGAAACGTAGAAGTGATAGCGTCGTATTTGCAAATGTTTGCACCCTTGTTTCCTGACTATTTTAGCTTGAATTTGTGGTTCCTTGGCCTATTTTACGCTAGGTTGTGTTGTTTTGTCATATCTCAGGTCCTAACGTGTAAAGGGAGGCATAGGCGCAAGTTTTGGGTCTTTTGGAGGTCATTTGACGACTCAAGGTGCAAAATACGGTTGTCCCTTGAAGAAATACGGTCGTATTTCTCCTGCTCCTGACCGTAATTTTAATGCCGAGCCAAACTCGTGAAGACGTCTGAAGAAGAGATAAATACGAGCAAGCATAGACTGAAATACGGTCGTATTTTCATGATTACTGGCCGTAATTCTCTAATGGCAGAATGGCAGGAAGAAAGTAAGTGGTGTGAATGACTGTGAGTTTGTTTGTCTTGGAACTGTGGAACCTTTGTGTTATTAATACTTCCACCACCTAAAAGGCCTTTTCCCCATGTCCAAGACCCTAGCCAGTCATTTGAACCTGTGTCTAAGACCTCCGGATTAGTTAGTGGTGACACCCGATATGTGAAATCTAACATTTAGAGGCTGCCGTCATGGTGAAGAGAAGTTAGGGATTGAGAGTACGAGTATGCACATCTTGCATCAAGTTTTGTCCTAACCCAACTGGTCGAGAGTGAGCGATTCATTTCCTTATATTCTCTACACTCTTTACCCCAGTGAGGACCTAGAGTGCTCGGTCTTAATGGTGATGTCTTGAGTTTTATGAGTCTGGTGACTGTCTTGAATAAATGGTTGATTCAAGTCTATGTTGGTTGGTGAACAGAAGGGAGACTCTTCCTTTATCCGATTTTGATGCACTGAATGTCCTTTATTGTGGTTGTCCAGGTTGCTGTTGAAGTTGTCCATGTGTTAATGATCAAAAGCCAGTATGATTCACGTGTTTTGTGCCGATATGATATATCCCCAAGGGTTGCATGATTAAAATGTGTTGAGATTAACTTGTATCTGACTTGGTTTGCTTGGGGACAAGCAACAGTTAAGTGTGGGGGGATTTGATAGCGTCGTATTTGCACATGTTTGCACCCTCATTTCCTGACCATTTTAGCTCGAATTTGTGTTCCTTGGGCTATTTTATGCTGGGTTGTGTTGTTTTGTCATATCTCAGGTCCTAGCGAGTAAAGGGAGGCATAGGCTCAAGTTTCGGGTCTTTTGGAGGTCATTTGGCGACTCAAGGTGCAAAATACAGTTGTCCCCTGAAGAAATACGGTCGTATTTCTCCTGCTCCTTACCGTAATTTTAATGTCGAGCCAAACTCGTGAAGATGTCTGAAAAAGAGAGAAATACGGGCAAGCACAAACTGAAATACGGTCGTATGTTCAAGATTACTGGCCGTAATTCTTTAATGACGACCGTATTTCCCTTACATCAGCGAAAACGCGTGTTTTGGGCAAAATACGGGCAGGCGTAATTACAATCGTATTTCTGCCCGTATTTCACCCAGAAATTGAGTTGAAGAGGCAGATTCGAGCCAAAGTAAGGTGATTCAACTTTTTGGAGCAAAAACAGAGTTTTAGAGAGAGAAAGTGCGGACAACAAAACCTAGGAGAGTGGATTTCTCACCATTGAAGCCCATATTGCATCCCCAGGAATGAAGATTGACATCCCAAAGCAGATTTTTGCCCATTGTTATGAGTATGACTGCTTTGTAATTTGTTTTCCTCTCTCTCTCTCTCTCTCTCTCTCTCTATGGAGTAGATCTTTCTCTCACTTGCGTGTGAAGAACACTAGTTCCATGTGTTAGGGATCTAGATTGTAATGACATTTGGATTGATATAATGCTTGGTTATAATCGATTGAGGCATGTTTTATTGTGTTAATTAAAGACTGATAAACTTTTCTTGATTTCTGCTGCAACCTGAGATGGATAGAATCTGATTAGGTAGTTAGAGTTTCCTCAATCGGTAGTAGTGAATTGATTATATGAGAGTTAGTCGATTCACTGCTTTGTACTGGAATCCAATTCCAGTAGTGGAGTTCTGTGTTAATTGCTTCAGCGTTCTATCCCAGTGAAGACTAGTTGTCTGTCGGGTAGTCTGTGAGAGGGCTTGGTCAGCTTAAGAGATTCCAAACTACTGTCAGATCTTCTGCAGTTTAATCTGCAGTAAATCTACCAAAGGTAATTACAACTTTGACCTAACTAAGGAGTTAGGGGGACTCATTCCCGAGTGACTCTTCCATTTCTTAACAACTGGAGCACATGTCTTAAGCAAGGGAAGAGTGGTCACCCCGGTCTTGATAAACAAAGTCACTTGAAACATTATCTGGATTGCACTTTTTTGTCTTCAGATTCTTCCTCTTGTGATTCTTGTTTATGGGCAAACAGAGTCGCACACCTTTTCTTAGTAGCGCAATCAAAACTACTGGTTGCTTTGATCTTGTTCATGTTGATATCTTGGGGCCTTATCAGATTTCTGCTTTTGATGGGTCTCGTTATTTCTTCACTATAGTGGATGATTTCAGTCGTTCGACCTGGGTTTACCTGACGAAACACAAATCCGATGTCTCACGGTATCTTCAGATGTATTTCCAGCTTATCCATACTAAGTTTGACAGGGTTCTACGCAGAATACAAGCAGACAACTGCCTGGAATTTCAGACACCCTCCATCCGTGACTATTATGAAGCACACGACATCGTTCTCCAAACCACTTTTACTGACACGCCTCGGCAGAATGGCATCGTTGAACGCAAGCACAAACATCTGTTGAAGACTGCTTGCGCCCTCATGTTCCATGCTGGGTTCCCGCTTCGGTTTTGGGGCGAATGCGTCCTCATAACCACCTACTTGATAAATAGGTTGCCTTCACCCGTAATTGCCTGGAAGAC